TTCAAATCATTCCGAAAAAATTATTTCCGATCGCGGGGGTCAATTACAATCATTTTTTGTGAATAGACATACCCCCGAAATCCTACGCACTTTCGAGAAAAAAATTCGAGTTGGTACTGAAATTTTTAGACAAAATTAAAAAATTTCATATTATACTAAAAAAATTATAATTAATTACAGGAGTCAATTACAATCATTTTTAGTGAATAGACATACCCCCGAAATTTGATCCACTTTCAAGAAAAAAATTCGACTAGGTGTGAAATTTTTCGACAAAATTAAAAAATTTCAAACCGTTCTAAAAAAATTATGCTTAGCTGCAGATACCAATTACAATCGTTTTTGGTAAATATACATACCCTCGAAATCCTATCCACTTTCGAGAAAAAAATTCTTTACTGAAAATATACTGTGTGGCCGGAAATGTTTCTATAACTTTTTAACGAAGCCTCAATTAACAAATTAGTATACTTGATTTTCGTCTTATTGTTGCCTCTAAAATCTTCCATTAAAATTTTCCCCAGAAATGACTAAGAAACAAATGTTTTGATTGTTAACAATTATTTGCTGAACACAAACGATTTTACATGATAATGTTGTAAATGATTATTCCATATATGTAATTCTTTTCCTTACAAATTCGTTTGTCAATTAAGATTTCAATCTGTTCATGCGGAATCAGACTGTGGAGAACCTGTAATCATTCAAAAGTAATTGGAAAAGTCAACAAATCCCATGTGAAGAGAGTATTGTTAAAATCTTTTGAATTTATCTTCACGTTGGACCATAGCGGTCGATAACAATGTATAGTTTAATTTTGAAAAGACATGTCCAACCAACAAAATATACAGAATTGTAACACCGAAGACATTTCTGTCGATCTAAACATGTGATTCTTTAAACTCTATGTTTTAAGACTTTCTCCATCAGCAAACACAATGAAAATATTTAAAGTAATAATTGTTTAATTTGAAGTAATAAGTTGTAAAAGAAAACGAAGTAAACCTTTTTTTATTAATGCAAAAGGGGCATATGTAATCTGTGTTTCAATTATTTTTAATAAAAAATAAAAATCAGAGATGCACGATACGTGGTTTATAAATATTACTTATCTGATACGGAAAGTGACATTTCATGAAACATTGTTGTGTACAAATTTACAACGTTTAGGTACGTAAACCGCTGATGTAATCAGTTTATAACAGAGACGGGAAGGTAACACGTGCATGGCAAATGTTTGCAATGTCCATTGCGAAAATCAGGCATTCGAATATGCATATGTCCATCAGGGGGAAATGCAAAATAGCTGTCTTGAAATAACGTGAACCAATATAGCGGGCGTCTCATGAAATTTGGACAAAAAGTATATCCTTGAGAATAAAACAATATCGTTAACTTCAATATCAATCGTTAGATAATATCAGTAAAGCAAATAGTAAATAGTAAGCGCAATCAAAAAGTTAAAACCTCGTGAATTAATCGTACGAAATTCTAATTTAAATACAAAAATTATGGGGCAATACAATAATTATATTTTTATAGTGATAAATAACTAATTCACGCTCCGCTACTGTAGTTTGTCGCATTTTAAGTCCTTTTTATTGATTGTTTGGCAGAACAGCGCATATAACGATCAGAATGCTGCTAAATCAGCTAGATTCAATCGTTGCTAAGCATTGCTACACAAAAAACAATTGGGGATTTACCGAATTTCCAATGTTACCAACAGTGTACGATTTTTACTGACATCTAAGTTTCATACGCAACTTCAAATTTTATTTAATTTACTGAGTACTACTAAAGATTGTTTTGTATTGTAGTTATGTATCAAATAAAGAAACATTGCAGTATATATCTCTATATGAGTTTCAATAATTTAGTAAAATTTTCATGTTTTATTGGAAAAATTATTGGCTGAACCGCTAGGTGCACGATTTTAAGTAACAGTCACTGTAAGCATCGTATTATTACATCTTTAATTTTTCTCAGTAAAGTATTTCATGTGTCTACGAGAATGAGAACACCAGATTTTGCAAAGAATAAGCATCCGACACAAAAGGGATTGCTTACTTTCCTGTTTGTTTGCAACTAAGAATTACACGTGCGCTCCTGACTGTCGGCCAAATTTCTTTATTACCGCGCTGTTCTTATAAGCTGCACTTGATACTGTGAAAACTTTTCCTTGTGTCTGGCTAAAACAAGGTGTGCAAACATCCAGAACTCCAGTGATGCGTTAAAGAAAAAATAAAGACAGAGGAATGAATCCGGTAGTTGTACTGTTGTATTATTTACGACACCCGAGGAAAGTTAACAAAAAGCTTTAGTAAACATCGTCTTATTCAAATACCTTTCCTATAAATAACTGTAGTTGAGTGTAATATTCTCGTTCTTTAAATGTATTGCACACGAATGAAAACTTGCAAACTAAAACAGAGTTTAATTTTTACATATCAACTATACCATCTTTTTCACTTGTTTGTTGGAAGTTCCTAACGTGATTTTATTCAACACACGTTTCCTATCTTCCCTTAGAATAAAAGGATTTCTCTCCAAAGGGGATAATCCGAAGATCTTTATTTATTAGATTTTCTTTCGTGTTTTAATAAGCGGGATAAATCCTACAATATTTCAAAAGTATTTTGAAGTTACTGTATTGTATATTACGTAATTTTTAGACCTTAAAACATCAGAAAATTTTCATCACATCACAATTTATAATATATCATTCAAATATTTCAGAATACGATTTTTCATAAACTCTCACTATTACTAATACTCTAATACCATAATAATACATTAAACACAAACAAAATTATTTACAATATTAACATAGAAGTACGATTACTATAAACACAAAACATTTTTTCTATTCAATATTAAACATTTATAACTTATTCCAGCTTATGTAATACTCAGCCTAGAGCTGTGATATAAAAAAAAAAAAAATAAGAACCCTTCGTTAACACGTCTTTTATGATTGACTTTTACAAAAAGGAATGAATTTTATGATACAATTAATAAAATCATAAGTAACTTATAGTTTAATCGCAAAATGTATACTACACTTTCCTTCACCTTTTTTAGCTCCAAATATTATCATTGCAAAAATCACGATGTACTTGAACTTACGTCAAGAAATCCTCCGCACAATTTTCTTCTCGTGCAGATTATGTTAAAAATTTTTAATAGAGAGCCATCTTTAGAACTTCGTCTTTAAGTCAAACGTAGCGCTTGTTCCTTGCATGTAGCTTCGATCACAAGCATCTTCACTTACAACGACGCCCGAAGGTAAAAATAGGTAAGGTAAGCAGCATTAAAAGATCTTAAACAAAGAGTAATAAATTTTGAAATTGAACTTTCAGCTCCTTCGAACAAGCAAGAACAATATTGATATTACAGAATGTAAATTTTTGCGGTGAAACAAACACAGTTACTATTTAAAGCAAAACGGAAAATTCTATTTCAAGGTTCTACATATTTCAGTCGATAGCAAATTTAACATTTGGAAATCCGATAACCATATAAAAGATAACCATACAAAATCAAACGATAATCTGACCACAAAAATTGTATTTATATTCAATACGGTGATGGTAATGAGATGATTTGGTGATTATTAATTGCAATACCGATAAATCGCTTTATCGATTGGTAAGTGATTCTAAAAAATATAGCTTCAAAAATTGATGCTTCTCTTTTTACAGACAATTAAATAAATTAAATGAAGTAATAGAATGCGTATATGCGTTTGTGACGGTGTAAAGTTAAAATTTCAACTAGAAAGACAAGACACATTATTTGTCTTTTCTTTCCCCTCGAATTGAAAGATTGTTTAATTTGTATAAATAATTTTATATTTTATATTCAGAATAGATTTATTTACATGTATTTCGTATAATTCTTGATTAAGTTTTAATAAACTGTCTTTTTTTATATTTTCAATACCTTAGAAAATATCGGCAAATTACCGGTAAACCGGTTTTGATTGAAAATTTTATAGAATGACCGGTAAATGAAATTGTCGGCTTTTTAACACTTAAATAAAATTTATGGACTCCTTTCAAAAAATGAAAGTTTTAAAATATTAGTTAAATCAATGTTTTTCATGTCAGAAATGGATTAAAAAGGTACAATTAACATACCAGAGACTCACAGAATTGATAAAGTAAAAAGAATTTCTAACAATGTATTAATTATAATCAAATATAAACTTAACATTAGTGCAATTTATTTTATCATTATTTTATGATGTATTATTTACATATTTAAAATGATTATTTCTTAATAAACAAATATTCCATGCTTTTTATTGTCTTCTTATTTTGCGTATTACTATCAAATTTTTCTCTGTCTATACAGGGTGTTATAAGAGATTCTAGAGGCCAAAATAAGACGAAAATCAAGAATACTAATTTTTCTAGCCATCTTTAAGAGGCTTCGTTAAAAAGTTATTAACGTTTAAAGTTCCGCCCGTACTGAATTTTTTTCTCGCAACCGAAAATAATTTTTCCAGAACGATTTGAAATTTTTTAATTTAATTTTTTAACAACTTTTTAACGAAGCTGCAATCAAGAAATTTATATTCTTGATGTTCGACTTTGTTTGGCCTCTAGAATCTCCCGTTAAAATTTTCTCCCGGGGGTGACCGAACACCCTGTATAATATTGTGATTCATCGTAACGTCCGTAAGCGTAAATGACACTGGGCGACAGTTGGCATCAAGACGTATCATTAAGCGCGTCGCGTTTGTTTTGGAAGCATCTCGATTAAACGATCAATAACGAACGTTTACTCGATCAAGCATAGAATAATCGAACGAATATCATCTATAAACCTAAAGGATCCGATGGACTGAACCATTATTTCTCGGCGTATAACTTTTGAGAATTGAACGTGCCCGATTGTGATAAAAACGGTGAACGAGCTCTTACGTTAGTCGTTGGAATTAGTGGCCCTGGGCAACTCACGCTACGAGTGGAGTATGAGTCAATTACCAAAGTATACATATAGTGTAGTATAGTCGTGGGATAACAACGAGGTTTATGTTAGGTGTGCAATACGCGTAAGTCTCTGCATCAGTGTCACATACTCCGATTCTTTCGTTTCCTCGATATCGCATAAACTTTATTCTGCGACTCGGTCCAACGCACGAACCACGATTTTCGCTTCCGGATCACGGCGTATCTACAAACTTGAACTCCCAACGGGACCTAACCTCTTTTCGGGACGCATCGCAGTGAGGTCCGACAACGTTATTGATGCGCTCGATCGATTACGGTTCATGGATTCCAGACACGTCAGAGTAACGAAATAAATGGTTCCCAAGAATGCATGTTTTTTACGCAACAAACTGCGAAATAGGAGTGTTTTATCATCTTTAAAATGACTTTCATGTAATTCTTTAAGAATCTTTTCTTGCGTAGTTAAACCAGCAACGTCTATCATTCGAAAGTATTCGTAGATTTCTCGAAAGATACTATTGCCAAAATGATGCTCGAAATAAGTATTCGAAAAATGGAAGAAAGAATAAAAGCGTGCATATCATGTGTAGTAATTCGACATGGAAACGAGACAGAATACTCGAGTATTGTTGGAGAATATTCGGAGGTAAAAGCCATTGTGAAGCTGAGCGACCATCGACTCAGTGTGATTGACGCTGGATCGTGTGTACAAAGTGTCAGTGTGTAAAGTACCTTTTTGAGGTTAGGTCACCCGTGGACGAACCATGTGCGGGCACTGGGCTGCATACATAGCGCGGACTTCAAAAATGGTGAGTACAATTGCTTCTGTATCGATAGTGTACTCAACGACAATTTGTACCAATTAAATCAACAAACTTTATGAAAAATATTTCAAAATAATTAATATTTACTTGAACAACATTAGATAGTTATAAAATACATTTAAAATAAAGGTAGGTTGAAACCAAAACTTTGCGAAGCCTTGAAATAGTTGTAAATTCCAAAGTAAATTTTTGGTTAAGATTTATTTATATTCGTAGAACAAACGAATGTTCATGCAAGAATGAAGACGTAAAGTATCAAAATTAAAATGTACGTAAATTCCTATTTACTTAGATTCGACAGTTTCGAGTTCTTCTAACTTGAAACATTTTGAGTTCCGACGGATTTCGAGATTTCAAGAGTCCTATCCCTAATTTAAGGAATTAATTGTATTTATTGGAAATGCCGGAAACAAAGAAGCAACAGTTTCGGGTGGGAAACTTTTTCACACGAACAGTCGCGGAACAGAAGCCAAAGTTAATGTATTCAAGAATTTAAGATGCAATCAATGGGCAGTCAAGGGTAATGAAGTAGAAGTAATGTTAAGGTAGGGAACACGATTCGTCGTTTTAAAGAATCCGAGTATACCCTTACATTGTTCAGAGAGGTTCAAATCTATAGTCATTTATGTCATAGCGTGGCACATGAATAACGGGTTGGCTTAAAAGGTGCAAAAAAACAAGATTCGCGAGATGTGATGTGGCCGGAAACACTATACTTGAATACGCCCGAACCCGTATGAAATCCTATCGCCTTAAATTGCTTTAAATTTCACAAACAAACAACACCGTTTCGCAAATACATTTCATACTCTATTAAATTGTTTTCTTCGATGTTATAAAGCATATAGCATTTCGAAAAATATACTAAATAAAGGAATTAAATCCACAACAAATTTTGTATGGAATTTTAAATAATATTCTTCCTAAATGCAGAAGTTATTTCAAATTTTTCAGAAACTTTTTATGATAAACTATATATTAAATTGAGTCAAATTGTAGTTTATTTTTAAAACATAAAAAAAAATTTCATGTGTATTATATAAAAGCCAAGTAAGAAAGGGTATAGCCGAATAAGGGGGTCAAATGTGCCCCCAAACCGAATGGAACGAGCCCGGGGTCATTCGATAGCAAAAAAAAAATAACCCATGTGTGCAAATTTTTAACTTGAAATCTCGACCGTGGGGGTAGTAATGGGGTGAAAACGAAAATCATGTTTTTGAATTATTTCTCTTGACCTATTGAGTAAAAAAATGTAAAAAAATTCAAAGACATTTCGGGTACCGGGGCACATACTTTGGGAGATTTTCAGATTTTTTGATTGAAGAACCAGGTAGTGAAAAATAAAAAACAGCAAAAAATGCCGAAAAATGCCGATTACGTATTGAAGGAGGCCCGGAACTACTTTTATACTTTTACAGTAAACAGGTATTACTATTACTATTACTCTCAATTTTTTTCAGATTTTTCATTTTGGTGCGCCGCAGTGAAAAAAAATAAAAACCGAGTTTTTCCTCGTTTTCTGCGTATTAGAGTAACTTACACGTTGAATTTTTATGCATCCTTCAATATATAAGTGTTTTGTAGACTGTTTAATGTTTCTACACTAAGCAGAATTACATAACAATTGAAACAAATAAAATAAAGCCAACCGTTAAGCGCAATATATCCTAGAAAATCAACGATATTTTCAACGGCGTCGATGGGGCAGTTGGTAAAGTGTCCGACTGCTGAACCGCTGCAAGTTTTTTTACCATAGGTTCGAGTCTCTCTTCTGGACTTAGGATTTTTTTTCCTTCATTATTTTTTTTTTCAAATTCTAACTATATAACAATGCTTTATATTTATTTATAAATGTTCTGAAAGCATTTTACAAATATTTTAACCTGAAATATGTATAAATATAGTTTTGGAGTGTTTTTTGCGTTTTTATTTTTTTTGTCAACCACGATTATTGTTTAACATCTCTTACACTGAAATTAATGTGAAATGTTAGTTTTCAAATCTCTTACCTTTGACTATTGTGAATGGATCGGCGCAGAAGATTGTATATTGGCTTACTATTACTTCTTCTCGCCCTTCGATCAAGCAGATCTTTCATTCTTTTTCTCTTTCTTTGATAAATATGAATGTTTGCTACGGCTTCAGTATCTAACGTAGACATGTAAGGGCCATTCCACGCCAAATCTATTAACCCACTCTCTGCCAATGATACTTTTTTCTAATAAACCCATTTTTAAGTACCAGTTTGATCGTTTCATGCTTATTTTTGAATGAAGTATCATTGCTCGATGGAAACCACGGGGAAAAAATTCTATTTACGGGAACATACCAATTATCACAAGCCATATCTTACTTAGCGGAAGTTATGGATGAAGATAATAATATAATTGTTCGTTGCCTTAAGCAGACAAAAAATATTATTAAATGTGAAGTGAGATCGCGTCACATCAATAGTAAAACATATAGATGTTACATTAACTACGTACCAAATTCAATTGGTTACTCCGGGATTAAACGCTATTGTTGCGAATGTGCGAATGGTAACCGTACTGTCGGTTGCTGTTCACATGTCGCAGCAATAATTTATTATTTATCGCATGCTCGGTACCTTTCACGAATTGTACGTCCTGCAGAAATTCTGAGTAAATTATTTAATATCGAACAAGTAAATCCCGTAATTAGCGTCGACAGCGACCAAGATTGAGCCATGCTTTTTTTTATTTCCAACACTTATGTCCGCCATTTACTCTCATCCGATCCATGTAATCACTTCTAACCCATCCTTCGCCTCTCCTGATGGAAGAAGCCCACCACCTTCCCGTGGTTTCCATCGAGCAATGATACTTCATTCAAAAATAAGCATGAAACGATCAAACTGGTACTTAAAAATGGGTTTATTAGAAAAAAGTATCATTGGCAGAGAGTGGGTTAATAGATTTGGCGTGGAATGGCCCTTACATGTCTACGTTAGATACTGAAGCCGTAGCAAACATTCATATTTATCAAAGAAAGAGAAAAAGAATGAAAGATCTGCTTGATCGAAGGGCGAGAAGAAGTAATAGTAAGCCAATATACAATCTTCTGCGCCGATCCATTCACAATAGTCAAAGGTAAGAGATTTGAAAACTAACATTTCACATTAATTTCAGTGTAAGAGATGTTAAACAATAATCGTGGTTGACAAAAAAAATAAAAACGCAAAAAAACACTCCAAAACTATATTTATACATATTTCAGGTTAAAATATTTGTAAAATGCTTTCAGAACATTTATAAATAAATATAAAGCATTGTTATATAGTTAGAATTTGAAAAAAAAAATAATGAAGGAAAAAAAATCCTAAGTCCAGAAGAGAGACTCGAACCTATGGTAAAAAAACTTGCAGCGGTTCAGCAGTCGGACACTTTACCAACTGCCCCATCGACGCCGTTGAAAATATCGTTGATTTTCTAGGATATATTGCGCTTAACGGTTGGCTTTATTTTATTTGTTTCAATTGTTATGTAATTCTGCTTAGTGTAGAAACATTAAACAGTCTACAAAACACTTATATATTGAAGGATGCATAAAAATTCAACGTGTAAGTTACTCTAATACGCAGAAAACGAGGAAAAACTCGGTTTTTATTTTTTTTCACTGCGGCGCACCAAAATGAAAAATCTGAAAAAAATTGAGAGTAATAGTAATAGTAATACCTGTTTACTGTAAAAGTATAAAAGTAGTTCCGGGCCTCCTTCAATACGTAATCGGCATTTTTCGGCATTTTTTGCTGTTTTTTATTTTTCACTACCTGGTTCTTCAATCAAAAAATCTGAAAATCTCCCAAAGTATGTGCCCCGGTACCCGAAATGTCTCTGAATTTTTTTACATTTTTTTACTCAATAGGTCAAGAGAAATAATTCAAAAACATGATTTTCGTTTTCACCCCATTACTACCCCCACGGTCGAGATTTCAAGTTAAAAATTTGCACACATGGGTTATTTTTTTTTTGCTATCGAATGACCCCGGGCTCGTTCCATTCGGTTTGGGGGCACATTTGACCCCCTTATTCGGCTATACCCTTTCACATATATCTTGAATCAAAACATTTTTAAATCAAGGAAGATATTTTTAATGCATCGATCCGTAAGCACAAAAAGTTTTTCAACTTATTTTAAAAATATCTATAATCAACTTTTTAAAAAAGATACATAGTTCGAAAATATTAACGACTTTGATTACTTTTAAGAAAAGTTACTTTTGACAAAAATTATCTTACGTTATCTGCGAAATATTTCAACTTTTATTTCGTAAATTTGTTTGGGTCTATAACGATACAAATTAGTTAGGCCAACAATGTGCAATGAAAATGTATTCTACTAACTGTTTAACAATTGTATCATGCGTTTCATATTCTCTTCAGGCTTTAAATCACATTCCATTGTTACTGGAAAATGGCTGTAAAATGAAAGTACTGTCGATGGGGTTATAAACACGTATTCCATTTGTTTGATTAAAATCGACGATAACCGATATTCCCCTTATTCATCATGTAACAATTATTTGAACATTCTCGCAAGGGTTGATCCAACAATTTATCGGAAGAATAAACATTTATTGTTACTACAATGAATTAACGATTTCAAATCGATTAAACAGAAATGAAAAATACATTGCTGAACGTTAAGCAAAATTCCACGACTGTCATTGTTTTTACGAATAAATTATTAACACTGCCTTAGTGAACAATACCTAACATTTAGAATAATTGTTTACTTAGGAAAAAATATAGAAACTTTTTATGGTTTCTAGATATTTATTAAATGTAATGTTTTCCACCATGATTTCGGTCCCCTTCAATAAAAAATAATCTATAAACATATATATGAAACATTAAAAGATGAGTACAAAATCAATAAATTTTCTCACGTAAACATAACAAGCTCCTTCGGACAGTCGTAAAAGAAATTACATATATTCAAAAAAGCACAAATTAAAATACAATTAGTAAATGTAAACATACAGGGTGTTCAGCCAACCCTGGGAAAAAAATTTTAATAGGAGATTCTAGAAGTCAAAATAAGACGAAAATCAAGAATACTAATTTGTTGATGGAGGCTTCGTTAAAAAGTTATTAACGTTTAAAGTTCCGCCCGTACTGAATTTTTTTCTATAAAGTGGGTAGGATTTCGAGGTATGTCTATTCACCAAAAATGATTGTAATTGAACCCTGCACCTAAATATTATTTTTTAAATATTATTTGAAATTTTTTAATTTCGATTAAAAATTTCAGTACCTACTCGAATTTTTTTCTCGAAAGTGGGTAGGATTTCAGGGGTATGTCTATCCACCAAAAATGATTGTAATTGAACCCTGTACCTAAGTATAATTTTTTTAATATTATTTGAAATTTTTTAATTTCGATTAAAAATTTCAGTACCTACTCGAATTTTTTTCTCGAAAGTGGGTCGGATTTCGGGGGTATGTTATTCACCAAAAATGATTGTGATTGAGCCTCGTAACCAAAAATAATTTTTTCAGAATGATTTGAAATTTTTTAGTTTAATTTTTTAATAACATATTAATGAAGCTTCAGTCAAGAAATTGCTATTCTTGATTTTCGTCTTATTTTGATCTCTAGAATCTCCCATTAAAATTTTTCCGAGGGGTTGCCGAACACCCTGTATAGTAGGTATGAAAAAGAAAGGGACCATGTTTTATATTTTGTATTTACATTTACTAATATTACAGAAATTTATGTTTTTCTAGACGTGTGTAGTATTTTTTATGGTTGACCAAAAAAACTTCATTTTATTCTGTTGGTTTGTATAGAAACACTTGTTTGCTATGTAAACCACATTATGTTTAATCCTCTGTTTCCTTGAAAAATAATTTTAGCGGTATTGTATTACTTTTTGAATGTTTTACGCCTATGTTTATAGATTATTAACGATTGAGAAATACCGAAATCACGATCGAGAGCATTATATTTAATAAATATCAAACTTCCAGATATTACAATGAGTTTTCAGAGAAATGAAAATGTTAGAATCGAAGTTTATTTTTGAATCTTCTTACGAGCGTAGTAGCATTATTTATGGCGATGAATTATTATAGTGTTGCAGTGAGTAATAATCCACTGCTATTTAAAATGCAATACTAGTTGTATATTCATGGTGCTGTTGTAGCGACGAAATTCTCGTGGTCGAAAAATGTGCTTGAATATTCAGATTGTCTGGAAACTCTCAGAATAGCGTCTGAAATTTATACTATAATTCATTAACGACTCAACGCACACTAAGGATTTGCTCCGAAAAGCCGAACATAAGACGATCTTAAAAATTTGATGTAAACTACAACATTTGTGCTGCCTGCGGTAGTTGAATATGCGAGGAACATTGTATCAACATTCTTTTTTTCATTCGTGCACTCCAAAACTGCTGTGCTTTATCGAAAGTTAAAAGATTTTATGGCACACATTTCTACCTTAACCATCCTCTGAAACACTGTTCGCTTATTAGCAATTTTTACATGTTCTAAAGAAGTTGTATAAATCTTTCCATTATGGAAGCTTTTCAGATAAGTATATACTACACTTTTTACTTTTTCATCGTATATATTTGTAAATAGCCAATAATTCAGTAATGTTCATTACAATTATTTGACTTCATTAACAATTTTGTTATACCTCAGGGTGAGTCCCGGTGATCGTTTTCGTGTCATTGCATTCTATAAAGATTTGTGATCATAATCCAAAAAAAAACTGGTTTCGAATTTGTCCGGTTTGAAGCTTTATAGCAAATTATGACCAGACGATCGTCCTGACAAATATATATCCGCGATAATGCAATTCTCTCGCGAGAAAGCGCTCGAGAAGCTTCGCCACCTGGCGGTAACATCGCAGTACTGCTACGGGCGAGGTATCGCGCGGGCCAAATATGCGCATGCGCGCGCAAGTAGACTGTCGTATACAAAGGTCACGTGGTCTGCCAACAGTCGTACACATAAAATCTTTGCATATAAATTACATGTTAATAACGCGCTTCTGAGACATGCTACATAGCCTATGTCCGTCCTAGAGTATGCAGGAATAACTTGTCAAAATTTGAGGAAGATCGGTTCAATAGGTCTTGAGTTTTGCGCGAACATAAAAATCGGCTCTCTCTTTATACATATAAAGAAAAATTTATATTTATTCTAAAAGCGATGGTTGATTTTGAAATCTTGAAAGGTGCATGTGATAAAAAAAAAACATTTTAATAATGCATTCAATGCCTCCCTGTGAATTATGTAAATTATTTGCGTGATCAATTTTTATCAAAATCAATATTTATGAAATTATCGAGGTTACGAGCTCCATTCTTCGTATCTAGAAGGAAATAAAAAATAGTTCAATTTAAAGCGATGCTGGTATATGTATATCAATAAAGGGAATGAACAAACGACGACTTACAGTTTTATGCATATACATATATAATACATATGTATATGTATATCATCAAATAGCTGATTATGAACATGAAGCATGTTATAGGGCACAGAATTTAATTAGAGTTCATATTATTAATTAATATATAAACATCGCCAAGATTGTACACTTAAATTATACTATTTAAAAAACATTTTTTGATTCGAGAAACAGATTTTGAATTAATTATGGAAAACCTTATTTCATTGGTGAACATTGAAAGGATATTTAACATAATCCATTCACTTATTAGTAAAAATCAAAAAATTCCTTTCTAAGTTTTCATGAAAATAGCCATTTGAATTAAATGCTCGTTATATGTTACTTGCAAAAACCATTAATACGAAGTAGGGTGAATAAACTTTTATTTAACAATGTCATACTATTGGACTATTATTGAACCATTTCTTTGTTTAAATAATCATCCAAATAATATTTTACGTTCCGTTAAAATATGGCTCCCAAATGATAAATATTATATTATAATAAATAGGTTATTTTATTACTATACAAATTAATAATTAATTTAAATTACTATGCAAAATTATTTGCACCAAATACATAAAATTACGTCATGTAAGAAACATAATATATCGGGTGTTTTGTTTATTATAATCGTACCAAATAACATCACAGCTTTTAAAAAGGAAAAATAGTATAACAGAAAGAAGTTATTTAGTTGTAGAGCGACAAATTTTTTATACAGTTTTTTTCTCAAAATTCAATGAATATTTTTTTTGTGCGGATTTATATTTTTATACACGGATAAAATTCGTTGACCTAAAGGAATAATTCCGATATTATTTCGAATAATGTTTTTTTAATAATACTTCAGTAGGAGTATCACAAATATTAATAAATTCATTTAAAAGTGTTGCAACAAGTTAATTGATGTATCTTAACATCAGTTATATTATCATGTCCACAAAAATTAATTATATAGAGTTAGACAAATTTGATTCATGAATAACCAATAAAAATGTTATTCGTTCGTAACCTAACTTCCGTTTAGGTCTAATTCGACAATTTATTCATAAATTACAATTCATCGACCGGTCTTTAAAAAAACAGCAGAGCTATATGGGATGTTTATAACAAACAGATTATTCCGTGTAATAAGTATGACACAAGTAATAAATACAGTTTTGTTTGATCGAAATCAACATAAAAATATCATCGAATAAAGTCTAACACTGAGGAGACAATACATAGCGACAATAAATAGTACCTACTTACCATGTAGTTATCATCCAGCAATGAACCCTCTTCTCCACAGGAATATTATTTTAATAAACTTTCAATGTCTATGGTTCCTGTTCTTTTAGCAACACGTAAAATTCACACGGAAGCCTGATTATTAAACTCCTTCATGAAAATATTTCTATCACAGAAGATGCACGTATCTGGTTCACTGACGTAAACACTTGCATCGATGTCGAAAATAAATTATGCGAAATTGAACAGATTCACATGTTTACCGTGCACCTTCACTCTCACGTGCAAAATACATATAACTCTCCCGACCATTCGATGCAGCAGATGATTATGCATGTATATGAAATGATTTGATAATTAGATAATTAAAGAACAATTCGTAAATCTTTTCATAATTTTTCGTTGTTGCAAAACCATATCAGCAATTAGATGAAATATTTGCTTAGTTCCACTACTGCAAAATTGAATTTTTTTATACAACTCGATGACATGAAGGGTATTAGAATTTAACATTTTTACGACAAACTACTTAAAGATGTATATATTTTGAATTTTAATCAATTAACACAAATAATCGAATTCAATTTGAATTTAAAACAGAGTTGATAATTATTGTAAAATAGGGCAATATTTCATACAGTATTATACATCATACAGGAATCTTTGGTTTCTTCCAAAATACATCAATTTATTTTCAAACAGCATAATACGTTATTAAAAATGAATTTTTGTTTCATCTTATTAAAAACATATTTTTGTATTTTATATTACCATCAAAAATAAGTTTGTCTATTTCATTATAACTTTTTATATTGAAACAATTAAAAAAGAAGAATACCTTGGCATCGAAAGCGATTTTTACAATAAAATAGATTAATTCTCATTAAATTCACGAGCAAAATTTACATTAAAAAATGTGTGATAATTTGACAAATCAAAGTACATATTGCGATTATATTTTATCAGAAAATTTTTTGAATTGAAAAATGTATTATCTTGCGAGTCAAAATATCGCTTCATCTTCATATATCATCAAGGTACTGTTCCTTTAACTATGTTTTACCATAAATGAATAAATATCGACGATATACAAAATGTCCCAAGATGTGGTTCACATGAAATATATAAAATATCATTGTTAAATGATAAAAGACACGAAGAAACGCAATAGAAATTTTTTTGTTAATTTTTATATTTTAATGCTAGCAAAAGGAAAATTCTTTCCTATTTTAATTAAATTATATCAAAGTTTGTGTATTTTCTTTCAATATAATGCAATATCTTTATTTCAGTGGCATAAAAGTATGAAAGAAAAAATACTTTCGATGAGTTCACATACAAAAGCATGTAAAAAATTGTTGTATATTCCTCGTGTTTCTTATCATGTAGCAATCATTCCATGTCTGGCTTATCTTGATGTACCCTATAGAGAGCACAACGGTTTAGAAAATTATGTGAAATTTCTTTTTACGTAATTGGTATTTTGTAAGTTAATTTACGTTATACATTTTCTTACCTTTCAAATATTTAAAATTTATCTTCATACGTATAATATTTGTATCTCGATATTTGTAAATAATTTAGACTATCTAAGATTTGTTATTTCTTTAACATTCACGTAATATAAATATAGATTTTACTAAAAATATTAAAAGTTCACAGTAAAAGAATGTCCACATATTGTAATTATACAATGAATCAAATGATTTAGAAAGCTGTCGTTTAATTTCAACGTCTATTCTTTTTACATATACGTTGCATATGTATATGCAATACATGCTTAAACGTACGTCGTGACTAGATTAATGTTACATATACAATGGAATGTGCTTGTACGATAACAATAATAGCATGCATAACCCGATTGATGGCATCAGGTAAATTATCAAGCATGCATATTTCACATAACGACAAGCGTTTTCTGCGAAATCAACAGGTCAAACCTGAATCAAATCCTTACTTCCTATTGTCCCGAACGAACTGTGTGTGCTCTAAAGCACAATGCAAACGCAAAACAAAAAAAAAACTGGCTCTTAACACTGGATCGGGGAAGTTCCTGAATCGAGAAATTCACTGAATGCCTGTCAAACGTATCTTTTATTCGTGCATTGCTACGTATTCGATTCGAATTGAACGGTGACAAAGTTCGTTAAGAATTCTCGAAATTAGTATCATATCTATTGAGCTCGACCACCGTGCAATTTAAAAGTTATAATCAATCTTTTACCGTCATTCAACAAAACTCTCGTGAACGTATGCCATCGTGTCAAAGCATCGCTATCTTCATTCACTCGTGTCAGACACCCTCCCTGTGCCATACAAGGGAGATCCCCACTCCTCTACACACACAGACCTTTCGCAATACCCTTTCTCCCCTCCTTTTTTCCCTCATCGCTCACCCGCGCACTCACTCGCAGCACATTTTCTCTCCCTCCTGCTCGCCTGTTTCTACCATCCCGTTTGCCTGCCCCTCTTTTCTCTCATACTCACAATGCATTATGCCCTCTTTTCCCCTCTCATTCCGACTATCTTTGTTTTATGCTCCACCCAAGACGACGAGCACAACAATATAAGCGATACGCTTCAAACGAGGTAGTGAAGAAAGTCAATGAACGTGATATATTTCTTACATCATAATTGCAGAAACCGCGGGAGCGGAAAGAATCGCGAAGCTAGATACCCTTGCCGTGTTATGTCATTCTCCGCCTGCAAGTTCATCGTTGATCGTTTCCTCGGTCGCGGTCATCCCCTTTTCGTTCCGTGACCGTGCCTCTCTCAGGTAACAAGAAACCAGTCGTGAGCACAGGGAGAAGATGCATTTCGCGACGTATTCGCGGACACGTGAACCACCGATGGAAAGGACAGCAGCGACAGCAAGAAACGATGTTGTCAAGCGAACGAACATGCGAATGTTGAGACAGAGAAAGACAGAAATAGTCGGTGAGGGGGATGGAAGGAGAAGAAGAGAGAGAAAGAGCAAGGTATACTGTACGTGTCTCTGTTTCTGTCTCTCTCTTCGCCTCCCTTTCGTCGCGCACCAAACCGATCGGCGATGTGTAGCCGCGTGCGCCGCCACGATGGCCGATCGGAAGAGACGAGTAAGAAGACGATGACGAAAGCGACAACAACGACGACGACGATGAGATCGTGGCCTCTCGTCAAACCCACGTCGACGACGCTTGACGTCGGGGCTGCTCTGGGCGTCGCGGCGCTCACACATCGGCTCACTGAGCCTGAGGTGGGCGACACCGCCGGAACGCAGGATCGCGGCTACGGCCGACAAGGACCGAGAGAGCAAGCCGAGCTTTCCAGATGTTGGTGCGCACGCGCCCTCTTGCCGCACGTCGCTGTTGAATCAATTTTTAGCTGTTGAAAACTTCCGTTAAAATTTCGAATCGATTACTTTCAATACAAACATACGATTAATTTTTGTTTGCTTCGATAAATACGACTTCAGTTTACAAAAATTACTTGTAATAATTATTACTGCAGACTGCTATTCTTTGCCATCTGTTGCCAAATTTGTAAAGTATAATACAATGTTGTGTAATATATGATCTGATTAATAATTAACGATTAAGATTACAGCGTAATCAAAACGTAACTGATAAATAACACAAAATATTAAAATAAAACATTTTGACTATGTATTTACATGTATCCCCCGTAAGTATAACACGATAGTTAGGTTCCAAACAAGTGACGTAGTAATAAAAATGTTCTATTTTTTTCATAACTAAAAGAAATATATTTATTAAAACGATCTATAATTGATTAAAAGTATTGAACGTTAATATTACATAATATTTTCTTCTTCGCCGTTAAACGAGGGTGTCTTCTTTTTTTGATTTGATTCTATCAACGTCGACTAAAATTGATAATTTTTATACACCAAGGTCGCCTGTCACCTTCTATGGACATTTTGGCTTTTTGAAATAATAATTCTAAGCGATATGGACTACAAAAATGGGCAAATGTTATTCTAGTCGTTCCACCTATGCAGCTGGGCGTGAAACGATTATTTTAAATTCATTTTATATCCACATCGATCTCAACTAAATTCAGACATTATTGATAACATATTAATTATACGTTGAAATTGTAAGAAAATTATAGACGATGACTAAGTTCAAAATTAATAAATGAATTAATAAACAGTCAATTATTGATTTACTATTAATAGTATTAATACCTAATTGGTATGCATATTCCTGTTTTTAAAATTATGCTTGGACTTATTTTCGTCCAAATAATCTCAGCAATCCATTAACAAGTACCTAATAGAGATATAATATAAAAAATATACAAATTTTAATTTTCATTAATAGATGAAATTCAATTCTGCGTTTATATACGTATCTTATTGCTTTAGTGTTAGGCCACCATGTCGTTCGTACTTAGTAAACGAAAATTTATAGCGATAACTCTAGTTTAGACATCGATGGAGAAATTAAATCAACTAAAAAATTCTGTACATACATATCACGAGTCACAATGCCCTTGAAAATCCAATTACTAAATTCTATACTATTCTGTGTAATGTTGATACATGTATGTATCAAATAGATGAACACAAATCAGTTTGCTTTCCAGCTTTAGAAATTTAATAAAATAATAGAGAACTATATAAATACCAAATAGTTGTATCAATATACATTTTTAAGCATTGTTGATATAAATTTGCTTGAAACTGCATCGTCTCAAATAAAAATTAAATCAATTTCAAAAAGAATAAATTATTCTCGTTTTTATTATCTGTTGTATCAAGTAATGATAATTATTTTAATTGTTCACGCCTAACATATTTTTGTATGTTTATTTTACACGTGATATGGCTTCAAATAATTATGCCTTTAGTTTTATTTTTGTATCTTCATTACATCTTATTTTGAGACCACAATTAAATTCTTGCAGCAAACAATATACCCAAAATATTTCAGACGATACATGAGAACACACGTATGCATGGTACTTACATCATATGTGCGTATATTTACCAACCCGTGTGTTTACTTAATTGCTTAATTCTGATTGGATCCCTATACAGAGAAGGGATAACGGTGTTCCCGGCTCATGATTTGCGCGCTACGCGTTTGGCGGATCTCTATTGGCCGGGTTATCTGAAAGGCCGACAAATCAGCCGTTCAGTTTTAAACCCTTGCTGCTTTTAACTCTCTAAAAATCGCTAAGTATTAGAGTTTTATCACTCAAAGTATTAACGTAAAACATAACAAACAGCTACTCCGTTCGTGAAAGAAATTTATCAATAAATGAAATCGAAGGAAAAGAAAGGATATATTTCAATTTTTGCTACGTATTAATAGGTAAAATATAATACAGGAGAGCTTGGTAACAGTGATGAGTAAGGGACGCGCTCTTGCGGCAGCTGTACCAAACGCCAGTGTCAATATGGCCGTTGACGAGAGCGCAGTCTGCGGAGAGACGCGGTCGCGTTAGTTTCTTCGCTCTCTAAATGTAAGTTACGCTGCGGTAGGAAAAACGATTTTACGCAATACTAACAATTTATTAAAAACCTGAGAAAAATGAATTGTGTTGTGGAAGAACGAATAAGCAGCATACAGAGCGAGAACGCTCTGGTGCAAGGTACGTGTCTATCGCGTTTATTAAAGTGTTTTTAAAACATAGTACTGTTTACGAATATTAGTGCCAGAACCACGCTGGCCTTCGCACGCAGCTTCCTTGATGCGCGTTCGATCGATTTGTCGCTACATTTATTGGCATTGCACATAGTAATTGCCAACTAAATCTGTAGAAACGGGATTGTGATCTTCGGATAGACATACGACACTTTTTAGTGACAGTAACAGAAATTTTCTGTGAAACATCAACTTCTGTGCCCAGTGTACAACGCGTGTGTGAATCCATACAGAACTACTGAATGCCTTCTACTTGACTTGCACTGCTGATATTTTAATGAAAATTTTTAACTGACCTAACTTTGTATAAATTGAATTTACTAGTGATTTTTCTATTCTATTTTGATATTTTGCGATTCTTAAAAATACTTTCATTCAATAGTTTCAAAATAATTTAAAGCACTTATACAAATTAGGATTCTTGCAACTTGTTATAGTCAACTTTTAAAGAAATGTTTTAAAATTTAACACATCGAATATTTGTGCCATTTTACGAAACAGTGACGAAAATATGTTACAAACCGATAGATTTTCATTGACTTTTATCGCTTATTGTCGCTATAGCTTTTTCTGTTTAAAAATATTACAAAATATTTGTGATAATTTGTCTTGATTTTTTTACATTTTTGCACAAGTTCTATTTTTTATTATAAAAAATGATATTTAATGAAAGTGCTACATAATAAATGTGCGTATAGTTGTATCATCGGTTTAAAAAAAAATTCAACTCGTCATGTATAAATTAAAACCGCATTAAAACATTAATGCCTGAAATAAAAAGAGAATATAATATTAAAAATTATGTTAAATGTGATAATGTGTGAAAAAATTCTTTTGTGATGTAGTGTTGAAATTTATTTGGAACTTTTTAAACATTACATTTGTGTCGGGATTAGGAATACACAGTTTCATTGAGAAGAATAAATTTCGGAATTGATACATTTATTTTCTATAAAGTGTAAAGTCATTGCATTCGATATATTCGGGAGAAAAATTTTTAAACAAGTTGAAAACGTGTGTCTTAGGTTGTTACTTGATATAATTAAATTATTAAATTCTAATTAGATTTAGTGTGTCTATTAGATTAAATAAAAATTGCATAATATTTGATTTTAAAGAAATTGTTAAATTATTTTTTTGTAAATTTATTATTTTTTAATTTTTTGTAAAACTATATTTATAAAACTTTTTCATGAAAAATCCTTGAACCAAATATATTTATCAATGTGCAGATACCAAACAGGAAATGGTTATTATTGATGGAAGGCCCAAATTAAACAATGACGAATTTAAATCATCAATTACTGATTTATTTCCTTGGATCTTAGAATTTAGAAAAATGTGCAGGTGTATACATACAGAGAAAAGTATTTCATCTTTAACAGAACTTATGCTGTTTTATGTGAGGTAATGCTTAATAACAACATACATTTATCTTAATATCTTAAATTTACCAGTAACAGTTTTTTGGGAACTGGTGTGAAAGCCAATATGAAACATGTACTTTAATTATGTAGAAATAACTATTATTCTTATATAATTTTATATTTCTGCGTCAGTAAAAGTCAGCATATTTTCAGAAGAATCTGTATATTAAAATTCATATACATATGAAAAGTAACATAAATTAAATAATTAGTAACATTACTAAATATTAAAATTATTATATCCAACAAACATTAATTTAATATGTGTTAAATAATATAAATAAAATAATGTTTACTTCTTAAAATGTTATAGTATATAATAATAATTTTTTGTTAGCATTAATTTCTTATTTATCTGATAAAGTGATATATTGCTTAAATATTTACTATGAGTCATTTTTAAACGTAGAGAAAATAAAAAAAAGAAGAAAAGGAAAACATATTTAGTAGTGATATAGAAAAAAAGTATAATAAATAGTACAAAAGAATTATATAAAAAGTATGTTGTGTGCATAATTTACATTATGAAATAAATTCAGAAATATTTATATTTCTTTTTATTTGTTTTATTCAATATTAAACAGTAACCTAATAGACTTTGAACACAGAAAATAGTATTATCGATTCTTAATTTAAATTGAAAACAATGTTATAAACAAAAAAAGTAATAATATTTTTGAATAAAGCTTATTGAACTACATCAATAATATAGAAATCATAAGTACGTATAGAATAAGTTAAAAAAGAAACTTATTTCATTTATGTATACTGATTTGTATATACACATTATGGAATTACATATTTGCAGTAAATACTATCAAGTAAGCATTTATTATACAATAGAAAGTACAGTTGTAATTAAAATGGCGTTTGAGTGCCAAATTTTATAGTAGTAAAACTTTATAGCATGTTACAAATTTCTTATGTTATAAACAGTTCGTAAAATGTTATAGTATATAATTTTCTTACAGAAATGTAAGTGTCAGTGTAAATGAGTGTTATACAAGGCCTTTAAGAGCTGCAAAGTTGAAGGATTCTATTAGTGAGACATTATTGTTATTCTTGTACATATATCGTGAGCTTTCTGAGGTAAGCAAATCCTCTTTAAATTTAAATATATTTTATTTTTATAATGTTTCTTTCCATTCTTATTAATATGAATTAATAAGATTTCATCTTTTAGAATTGCAGTAAATCCATTTATTTAAATAATATGTCTGACTTATTGGCTATGTATATAGACATGGAATTAAAGGCATCTAGAAAAAGTAAAGAGGATCATGATAAAATCTGTGCAAGACTGACTTCTTGCCTTTATGTTTATCTAGGTATAATTATATTCGTGTCATTCTTAAAATTATTTTAATTGATTTAAGTCTAAGTAATATTATATACACGTGTAAAGTTCTGTAATAGTATTCTGAAAAGATTATATTTCTTTCAGAACATTCCACTGAACATTTATTAGATACTTTAATGAAAATACAACTCATGTGTCGAAATTATCATCACATTTTAGATCCATTAATAACGTAAGTATGAAATTATAAATTAAAATGAATCAATTTTTAGGTTTTTAATTTTATTCTTATATTTAAATTGCATGTAAATCTTATGTTTAGTTTATAATTAAATTAATTAATATATGTATATCTATTATTTAATTTTCTTATGAGAGAATTATGTACTTGGTGAAATATTTCAAGATCAAATTTAAATATGCATTGTAATTGAATAAATATCTTTTAATTTAAGATAAACCTATATATATTTTATGCTCAACTGCATATATTAATTATTTAATTTATTAAATTAATTTTCATATCATTTACATATTTCTTAGATAGTGTCTCATAATTAAAATTTTCTGTAGCAGAATAGTGACATTATAATATGCATTTTTCATTGAGTTTTAATTGTATGCTTCATTATTTTCTCCCTCAGGAAAATCATGAAAAATATTCCCCTGCATCCGGAATCAAATATTATGTACATTCGTTACTTTCTTATTTATCGTTTATGGAGAAAAATAAATGGAGATGTGGCTGTACGGAATCAAATAATTTCTGTAGCAATAACATCTCTGGGGCCAGTGCCACCTACATTCTCGCCATGTATATTAGAAGATGTATTGCCAAAAGTGCCAAAGAGTCAACCAAATTCTACAAAAACTCTACTGCAGTATAAATTTGATGTTAAAAAGCACTGTGAACTCTTTGTAAAATACTGCAAAGAAAGCAATGGAGGTATACACAAGAAAGATGAATCTGCAACTCCCATTAATTCGTCCAGTAGAATTAATTCACAAATGGTATTTATTTATTTATTATGTTTCCATTCTTGTTCAGTATGCTTATGTTTAATGATCATACTTCATTATTTTGTTATGAATTGTCATATCAAAAATAATAAAAAAAAATAATTCGTTAGCAATATTTTTTAAATAATACATAATTATTGCAGGAACTTATCTTTATGTAAGTAATAGAAATAAATATTAATGTTACATGTAAATTCCATTTTTTACTTACATAAAGATAAAATATTTTTGTAATTATAAGATTAATCAAATTTATGTTTATTCTCAGCCGGAAGATATTGCTTATAAAGATATAGAATGTGTAGATAATAACGTAAATTCAATTATATCAGATAAAAGTAAGCAAAATGAATCTATTTCTTTGCTAAAACCTTTAAAATCTTTAAATTTCGAAGAACAGACTAGTTTTAAATGTTTAGGATCTTCTTCAAATAATATTTCTATAAAGCATGCTACCCCTAAAACAATTAAATCAAATGAAAATCGTTTGCAAAAGAAATGTAAAAAGTCAAATGAAATTGTAATTATTGATTTAACTAGTGATACAGTGTTTGAAAAGTGCATCAAGAGAAGAAGATCTAGAAAACTGTCATGGTTAAAAGAAGCTAAAAAACGGATCGACTTGCAAATAATAAAATCACAAAAAATCAAGAACAAAGCAAAGAAGCAAGATATTAATTATACACCTCTGTCAAATAATTCAAGAAGTGTTAGTCATCAGTTGGAAGATACATTTCAATTGGTACATGCCACAGGAAATATTAGCTCAAAAAATAATTTGAACCCATGCAGGACGGTTAACATTCAAAATAATGAGAACGCAGTGGAAATCGACATCGAGTTAATTAATTGTACAGAAAATGTAAAGAAACTAACTCGTACGGAAATTGACACTAATGAAATAAATGTTAAAGAGTCTTGTGCGACATCTTCTTTCACAATGACCGCTAAACCACTCTTACCCGAGATTCTTCTTTCGACAAAACAAGAATCAAATACTTCGGATTCTACTGTCAACGGTAATCGTTTTAGTAATGGCATTGCTTCGAAAATAAAAAATGATGAAAAAGAAAGCGATAGATGTAATAAACAAACTGTGATTAAGCGACTGATAGAAACAGACATTTTCTCAAAGCCTGAAACATGCAAGAGAGCTGAAAGTTTAAAAAAAGTCTGTGATTTAGAAACAGAATGCCCAATTGTAAATAGTACCATTATATCTACTCAATATGTTTCCAAAGATAATGTTGTTAATTCTAATCATTCTAACATTAATGTAATTAATGATAAAATAATTGAAAGGGTAACATCGTCAATAATGACTTCGGAACACGTGTCAAGCGATGAAACGTTAAATGATACTCGTTTAAATAAGGAAGAGTATGCATTTAACTATTCTCACAAGATTGTTGATTCTGGAGTAAAATGTGAAGAATTAGTTGCAACTCAGAATGATAGTAAGAATGAAACGAGTTTTGCAGGGAGTGTTAAGATCTCTCCTGTAGAAAATGTTTTAAAATGTGAAGAAAATCAACGTACATCGCGTGTACTCGTAGAAAGTTCTGTAATACAGGACAAGTTTGAATTACTACAAACAGAGTCAAAATTATCAAAATGTACAAACGCTGTGGATAAAGTAGGAATGGATGAATTCCTCAAGCAAATAGAATTAAAAATTTGTAATTACGACGAAGGAAACGAGGATACGAGGAATGATAAATCAAGCATCACTAATATCAGAGAATCTATTTTCGGATCTTATTCTATGGATAAGAAAGATATTTGTAATACAGTTAATGTAACCTGCCAAAATGAAAATAATGAGAATAATGGAAATTCTTGTATCGATACACACGTTAGAAAATCTGTAGAAAATGTAATAAGCGACAAGTGCGATAATCATTTCGACAAATGTATTGCTAAAACGGATACTGCTCGCGAGTCTCATTTATCATCGGAAGATAAATTGTTCAAAACTTCGGAGATTAAAGAAGCGTGCAACATTTCTGAAAATAAATATATCGATCAAGATTCTGATATACAAGATAATATTGATGGTCTCTCGCTATTAGCTAGCGTTTCACAACACGTACCGCACTTAAAACCAGAAACTGAAGTAAAATCTGAACAAATAAGGGTGAAAGATTATGCATCATTAAGGTACGCATGTTACAATCAAACTACTGACGACGAAACTGATACGAACGATTCGTCAAACAACGTTTCTCCACTACTTGACAATCCATCTACAGAAATCATCAATAGAATCGTTGGTATTTATCCTGAAGATACCTTGGATAAGGTGGCACTTCATGTAGAAGTAACATCTGACGACGCAGTGACTGAAAACACTGACAAAGAATTATCCAAAATTGTGTCTCATTCAGAAACAAATGTAAATTACGACGCGGATACGCTAATGCATAATTTGATTCCCATAGAAACTAACGTACAAACCGTAAAAGAGAACACGAACGTTATACTAAACGGAGAAACTGTCGTTTTACTGCAAAAATCTCCCAATAGTAATTTGTATATTATAAATAAGGCGGTCGAAAATTCGAAAGATCACAATGACGAAGAAATGAGCAGATCGAAGGAGAAAAATTGGGCGTCCTCGCCTGAAGAATGTAGACAGTTCGAAGCCATCGCTTCTCTGGATCATGCATCGTATAATTTAGAATTGACAGCATATAGCAAGGAATTACCATACCTGGAGAGTAAGTGTTCAATAGGACGAAACAAAGGAATCAAGGTAAAACTGGAAGAAAACAATTTCTCAGAAGTGAAGTCGTATGCGAAGAAGGTGTCGCTCTCCAACGATATGCTTTCTGTCAATTCACAAATCTATCAAGATGTAAATGTTATGAGCAAACCAATAGAGAAACGGAAGTCGTCTAAATCGAATCTCGCATTCAGACAAAATATTAAACAAGAGTTTAATAACATACCGAATCACATCTCGTCGAATTGCGCGATTCCAGGGTGCAATAGAATTCACTCGCATTCACATGAAGTTGATGCTCAACGCCCTTTACATATTCCTGTAACTCATTCAACAACATTGCCACCGATCTATGGAAATTGTACTGGCAATACAGATTTGTGTGTACAATATCATAAACATTGCACACCGGTGTCGTGCAGTTTGCAAATTAACGCCACTACTTCTTTACATTCGCGCGCGAAGTCAGGTAGCCCATGCGGAAGATCGCATTGCTCGTGTTTAAATTGTACGTACGATATTGTCGCGCATTGTAGGCAGTGTATACATCCAACCACCGATACCCGTGTGTCTTGTATGGAAAGTAGCCCGTATTTTTTGCCGACACATTCGTCAGTACAAAGCCCCGCCGTCCAAGAGCTAGACAGAGCGAAAAGCGAAGCGGTCATGAGTAAATTGTACGATGATCAATTATTATGTAAAATAGAAAAGAATCTGTTGCAGAGCAATAATTCATTGGAGAAGCTCGTCGAGGCGCAATGCGACACGGAAAAGTTGTTCAAAAAGGACACGGATAATAAATTGCCATTAAAAAAAAGGCTGAAAGCGCATGCTATGGCATATGGTGGAGTACCAATTAAAGCTGAAAGAGTCGACAATTATCCAGCTATACCTATGATGTCGATAGCTGCATTGGAAGCATTGGATAATACGCAAAAGAGATCCACACAAATGGTTAAATCTGAATACGAATTGTCTTCTAGAAAAGAAGAAGGCCCGCGCGACGCCTACCATTGCAATTCAAATTTACTACGAAGAGATTATTTAAAAGATATACACGTGTCTGGTTCGCATCAAAATCTTACAAAAGAAAGTACAAGAAAGCTTGAACGTCAATTCCGATCGGTAAACGATCAATCTAGTAATACAGTGTGCCAAGAATCTTGCCTTCAAAAATCATTTGAAACGCCTGCGCCGCATAAAGAAATCAACATGTCGAACGCAACGCCGTTGAAAAGATTTGGAACAGAATCGATAGGGCAAGAAGAAACGTTCAAAAAGGTTAAAAAAACACAGTTGCCTCTGCGGCAAACAAGAAGCTCAAAAAGAAACGTTCCTAAAGTAAATTATTCTTACACCGATGTTGATCCAGAATGGTATCCATCCGGTGAGTCAAAACGCAAACGTAAAAGGACTAGTCGATGATCGATACCACTTCGTCATGAAAATTCACTACTATAAGGAGTGTTTTAAATTTAAACAAGAATATGTACATTATTTTATAAAACTGTGGCATTGTAAAATTGTAAATATTGTATAAATACGGGGAAATCGTTTTGGGAAGATTTACAAACCTGTAACTCGTGTATAGTACAACGCTCGAAGATTAACATCAGTGAAGATTCTTCGAAGAAGATACTACCTGGAAGATGGTTAGGCTATAGGTTATACGAGTATTTTATTAAGCATAGGTAGTGCCACTCAAAAACGATAGATAATTTTTTAGTGTCTGTAATGTGTTCTGTGTAAAACTATGCAGTATTATATAAAAAAAAAGTTTATCAAATTTCGCTATAGTTGCAACTATTTTTGTTTAAATTAAATCAATGAGCATTTAGAAAAGAATTTTACTTTTTGTAAAGTAACTGAAATTTTGTATGTATCCCGACATGAAAATTACTTTTGTGATGTATATGGTCACATATATAGAATGTAATAATGCAAAATTCACACATTGAAGTTTTGATGTTATTACTCTTGTATCAAAGGTAAGATAATTTATACTTTAAATTAAAAATATATTATTGTTAAATTATAAATGATTAATAGTGTGTTGTTAATACTTACTGTATTGTGTCCTTTATATTTAATTAAAAATAAATTAAAAGAACATGACCATTGTATAACACAAAATTAATCTTATAAACATTATTTTCTAGTATTCAAAGGCTACAACTTTGACTATTTAATGAGTATTTTAATTTTTCAGTTTGATGAAAAAGATTTATATAAATTCAGAGAAATAAGAAATCCAGGCTGAAGACAAAATTAAATTTTAATAAAAAAAATGATTTTTCGTGTGGGTAAGATTAAAAAAAAAAATAATATATCCTAGTAATATTTCTATATTCATAATTAATTACATTTTTTGTACAATAAGTACGTCTTGAAGTAATAATTATTGTGTACTACAACATTTTGTATAAAATAAATTAATTTTTGTAGAATTTTTTTAATTATTCTAGGCTTACTTATTGCAATCAATCTGAGCTATTATTATCTTATATTGTTATATACATAAATTACATATTATGTTTGGTTTACTTTTACATATTCAAGTTTTTTTTTCATTCTTTTGTTTTATATCAAAATGTGAAGTATTAATAAGAAGAAGCACTTTATTATTCAATCAATTAAATATTTAATAATATTTTTATTTCAGATTAATTATTTCCTCAAACTCAAGAACTTTAAGGAAATACTTAGCTTGAAAGTATGGTGTCAATCAATTTGTCAAATCACATAGAAGTAATTGAACCTCCATGTAATAGTAGAACAGGAAAATCAACCTTTTGCAATGTCATGATCTGTCTCTTTAATACTACTGGCAGCATGATTCATTAGAAATATACATGTAGATATCAAAATGCAGGTAGCATAGCTAGTCATTGGCTTTTAATTACGAATTAAAACACTTTTACTTTAAAAGAAAAAAACTACGATAAAACAATATGTATTCACGAACTTCAGATTAAAGTTAATAACATCACATAGAATTAAAGTAAACATTTTAGACTATATATTCATCAAAACGATAGAGCTTTGTCACAGGAAAAGTCATTTACTACGACACTCGAATTTATAACGCCTTTACATAATTTATGCTTAAAAAATTCAATATATATATTTTTTGAATTATTCTCTTATTTTTTTCCAAATGTGAATGGAGTATGGCTCAAAGAAATAGAAAATAGTTCAAAATTCTTATGAATTGTAATACGATCACTTAATGTTCAGTTTTTCTAGACATTTTCTTAAACATTTCCTTTAACAATTTTAATATTAAATTCAATGATACAGATAGTAAAATGTTGCTCTTATTTAAACACCACAGTTGTATTTAGTCATTTCAAAATATAAGATCATTTACATACGTTAGTGCCATTTCTCCGTATTTGATATTATGTCTGTGATTATTAACCGATTAGTGTTACTCAGCTTATACAAACAAATACTTTTTTGTACGACAAAATGTGTTATTAGTTGAATACTTCATCACAGGCACGATGAAGAGTTTAGTTTCTACATGTCACTAAGAAATATAAGTTAATTTGTTCCTCATAAAAACGATCGTAATCAAATTATATTACTTCACGATGGAACCTTTTTCGTATACATAACACTTGTAAAATTTCGTCTCAATTCCAAAAATTTCAAATAGCCCTAAGTTTCACGTTAAATTAACAAAAAAACCCAACGGTATTATTAACCCGCATTTGTTAGGTACTGTCCTTTCTTTATTGTTACCATTTATTTATTGATTTCTAAAATGATAAGTCTGATAGTTTTAAGTTCAATATAAATGAAATTATAATTTGATGTAGTCGAAATCAGGTGATCGAGAAATTACCAGACATTTTCATGTACATACATGGAATAGTTACATATAAAATTATCCTATACGCAAAGCATTTGTTATGGAGAGTCTGATATTCTGAAATATTAATTTAGTGTAGTGATATTACATCGGATGCCTCACTCATTATGATATCGTGTTCATCAAAAATTGAGTAATGTGTATGTGTAGAAGATTTTGTCATAATGACGAATAAACTTGTATTTACCTATATTTGTAAATTACATGCATTGCGTAATGCATAGACTGGATTTTTTTAGAAAATTATATTGCAAACACATTTACCTCAAATTTACGTCCTCAGCGTAAATATTTTACGTTTACGATTAGGGTTTAGACATAGTAATTTATAACAGGGTAATCGTTCCAATATTTCTTTAATATCTTTTTATATTTAATATTTTTTATTTTAACTTCGTGAACTCATAGCTTCACGAGATTTTAATTTCATTTATGGTAATATCTGATTGTATCTTTCAATATATTATGTAAAATGTATTTTTAATATACTTATTTTATATATTCATAAATGTTTTTAAATTTTTCTTATCTCCGCACACTATTGTTTACATTTTATAGTTTGGTATAATCGCTATTTATAGAGAAGTTAGATGATAAATCAAACCATTTTAAATCTCATGAAATATAGAATAGATATACACATATTAGAAAAGTTGTAGGTTTTCACGTATGGAAAATATTTTTTATCGATTATTTTAAAAAAAAGTATAGAAGCCACAAATATCTAAATTATTTAACATTCAAATGTATATAATATTTTGTGAATAATAATTGTAAATATACAATAAAAATTGATATGCGTAATGTAAATAATGTAATGAAACAGCAGTGATCATTTATTAGAATATATTTATCAAGTTTCACAAAACTATAATTAATATTAGATAATTTTATATTATTTCATACTGTTTGTTTATATGTTGTATATACATGAATAATAAATACACATATGTATAGTGGCGGCCATATACAGCAAAGTCTCTTTATCAAGCGTTCGACGTGTTGATAAAATTCATGGTAAATCAATTATAAAACTTTCTTTTTTGATAATTATTTTTGAACGAGAATTTTAATATCTTATTTGTGACTTTATATAGGACCAAATGCTATATAGTAGGAACTATATTTACATATTAAATTAGTAAAATCATTATTAAATAATTAAATACATTCTTAATAAATTTGTGTTTGATTTTAATTTAATCAAATTAGGTATCGCGGGTGCGAAGTTTGTCAGACATTACATTTCATTTTTTATTAATAATACGCAAACACATAATTGGTAAACTTTTTTGTTTTAAAACTTAACTATATTTTCGTTACATAGATTACATTACTGTGTCATTCTATTGGTTCAACTCGTTCCTACTAGTTATTTTTTTTAAGTTTTAATACTGTCTTGAACACATTTAACTGCACAAACTTTTCTATAGTGACTGATAGATGTTGTTTACTACTGTCGTCTAATTATTGAACTCTAATACAATAACTCTTGTGTCTACTGCAAAAACTGACGTTGCAAACAATATATGTGCACCAATCCTTATTTCTTAGGATACGAAAAAACATTTGCTCCGATGTGTACACTAGGATTGCGAATTCTTGAGATTGTAAGTTCTTATGCAACATTTTTTACAGACAAATACAGGGTGTTCGGCCAACCCTGGAAAAAATTTTAATGGGAGATTCTAGAGGCCAAAATAAGGCGAAAATGAAGAATATCAATTTGTTGATTGAGGCTTCGTTAAAAAGTTATTAACATTTATAGTGCCGCCTGTAGAACAGCAATCTGCGAACAGCTGCATACGCGTGATAGTGGTTCTCACTCACAAAACTGTAAGACTGTCGATACGTCAGTAAGTAGAGTTTCTCATGCTGAGTGAGAATCACCATCTACAGGCGGCAAAAATTTAATTTCATAGAAATTTTGAATTGCAAGTACGTGTATTATAAATAAATCATATTTGTACAGGATGTTCGACCCTCCTTGGGAAAAATTTTAATGGGAGATTCTAGAAGCCAAAATAAGACAAAAATCAAGAATACCAATTTGTTGATTGAGGCTTTATTAAAAAGTTATTAACGTTTAAATTTCCGCCTGTAGATAGTGATTCTCACTCAGCATGAGAAACTCTACTTAGTGACGTATTGACAGCCTCACAGTTTTCTGAATGAGAACCACTATCACGCGCACGCAGATAGCCGTTCTACAAGCTGAACTTTAAACGTTAAGAACTTTTTAACAAAGCCTCGATCAACAAATTAGTATTCTTGATTTTCGTCTTATTTTAGCTCCTAGAATCTCCCATTAAAATTTTTCCCAGGGGTGGCCGAAGACCCCATACATATAAAATTTATTTGTAACTTATTCTTGAGTATATAACCGCCACTGTATATATATATATATATAAACAACATGAAAGTGTATCATAATAAACAACTTTAAGTAACAGTTCTAAGGATATTCAATAATATTTAATGTATTATAGAAGAAAATGGAAAATTTTAACATTGATGATTTCTTAAAAAAAGAAGTTTTATTCTGTTTTTCAGTCTCTGCATTGTACATTACGAGTTATCTAATGTAATTTCATACTTCATGTAAGTTACATAAACCATATAAAATTACAAAATTTGACTGACACTAGCGTGTACAGAGTAATAATGTTAATAATAATACCTATGGTCATTTCTTCACATATAGCTGTTTAATGAAATATGATCACACATATCTCATTTCTCATACATAAAAATCATATTCTTATGATCCTAATGTTGTATTTGCAAATATAAACATTTTGAAAATTACAAACTACGAAATTATTTGATTTACATTATTTTCAAAATATTCCGGATTTTCCTTTTACGTATATTTTTAAACGCTTTGATTATACGATTGTATAAACATTTAATGATACAAAACATTATCAATAATTTAAGTACATGGAACAAATATTTTATTAGATAATTAATTAAATTAAAAGTCTACTATTTTATTTGAGTAAAAACGTTGTCAATTAATTACAGTAATGGAAGTATTGTTTTATTATCGCAAAATTACATTTTAGACAACTTATACATATATTTAATGTATAATATTTTAGGGAATATAACAATTTATTAATCAAACACAGGGCTTACTATTTTCTGCATAGTAGCTGCTTATTTTCAGTCCTACTTCTAAAATTTATCAATGTAATTTAATTCTCGAATAAGGTAATACGAAAAATAAGAATGTATGTATGAAAGGTAGGCATATAATAAACCAATGCACAAGTATAATATGCATAAATTATAATCTTCCTCATTCTTCAACGTTTGTTCCTTCTTTAAATAAAAAAAAACTTATATAATTACAATAATAAACGAACAGTATTATAGTTGTACATATCTGTTACCACTAACCAAAATGCCGGTTAACAACAAACTATTAAAATTTAGTTTGCATCTTAAAAACGAAAAGAAGTCTAGGCACTAATGGGTTAATTTTGTGAGATAAAATGTGTCATTTCATGTTTGTACAATCGAATTCCTATAAAAGTGTACAAATTTTCACACAACTGTTTACAATTATAATAGTCTAGTAATAATTGTAAAAAAATATGTTATGAGGAAACCAGATTTTCGGAAAATATTATGAAAGCTCTGTATCTACCTGCTTAAATTAAATGAGAAATCGTAACTAATTTTCCTTTGTGCAACATAAATATGTATGCTTTTGTATTATTCTATACACCGTTTACGTTTAATGACTTATTAATGTGTCTTTTGCAATAAGCAAATTTTGATAATGATGTCTCTTATATCCAGTTCTTAAATATTCCAACGAGAATACAGCTGTCTATAAAATACAAAAGGCTGTTCATGCCGCTATACTTACATCACTACTTATGAATCTCAGGATATAAAATAGTTTTTATTGCGCTTCTATAAAAATTATAGGCGAATAACTTTTTTTCATGGTTAAATTACGAGGTAATATTATATTTAAAAGTACTATCGAATACTGAAGGACATATATACTCAAGGTATTTTCATTATTTGAAAAAGTGTAATAGAAAAGTAATAATTTTATAGAATAACTTACAATTTAACTTATAAAATATCTAAAAATAATTCGAAAAATGAATTAAAGAAACAATTGTAACAAGATAATCACATGGATTGTCTATTAACTAAAAGTTAAATAATAAATAAGTAAGTTTAGTACTAAAAATGTTTTAATCTATAAAATATTACTAGTGTTGGCAAATAGCAAATGGAAGTAGTCAAAGTTTAAACAGTACTTATAAACATAAGGTACAGATGTTTGACTATTTAGTTTTCTTATAAATTGTATACAACGAATAGTTAACTTCACTGTTAATATGAAACTATACACTATTTCATATTTAATAACTAGATGGTAAACAATATTAACAATTTTATTACTAATAATAATTTACAAATACTGATAATTCTCTATCAAGGACTATTAGAAACCCCTGTATTTTAAAAAAAGTTGTGAGATTTTGTTAATAGAAAAAAGAATATCATCTATGTTAATATTATGCTTCATTTGCATTGATTGTTTAACTTTGATGTCGTTTAAAAACTAGTGCATAGTTTCATCAGTCAGTGATGAATTTTAATACGAACATAATATACTTATTTCTTGCCATTACTTCTACGTTATTACTTACATGAAATAAAGCTAAACCTCCGTAATAATTGCTCTAACAGTAGTACCTATTGTTAATTCAATCAGAATTTATTATAATTCTTATATAATAAAAGGCGAAACAGTAAAAATAATTGAATTCTAAAATGGTTTCTTGTTAATTGATGTTTAATATCACAATAAGTATGCAACATTTAATAGCATTGAATAATGTTATTCAACATATTCGATATTTTACGATTTAAATATCATGAATAAAAATAAATAAGAACGAATTATATAAGAAGATTTAGTTTCCGTAATGTTATATAGATACCAATGCACAAAAATTCATGAAATAAATTTTTGGTTTAATTACTAATTATTTCTATCAATTTAATAACCAATAATTAATTTTTGTGAAATTTTAACAGGTATTGCTTTTTTATCAAAGCTTGTAAGATTTGATAGTTGATATCAACATTATTTAATGCCGTTTGCTTTAAGAAAAAATTAAAAATCTAGAACCATAAAATATTTCTTTAAAACACTGCAGTCTAATGCACTTTCCCCACTTTGTTATGTAATTTAAATTAATTCAAAAAAATATTTGGCAATATATATCTTCTTTAATATTGTTATTTTAAAAAAATACTATGCTGCGTTCAGTCTAAAATAAATGTAAATAATGAATATAGCCTCAACATAATACTACAAATTACGTAATACGTAAATTAGATGCTTAAAATCGCTTGCGGCTTAATAATTTGTACCATTAAAAACCTAACAATAATCAGACAAAGTATAAATAAAATAACTAAAACTGTACAAAGAGTATACTTTAAACATTGTTGAAGAGATCAATAATACGCTTTCTTATATAAACTTTGTTTAAAAGCATACTTTGTTATGATTATTTACAGCTATGTGCATGACAAAGTTGAATACTTTAAAGGAATTGAACGATTTGAAACAATTAATCATGTGACATATAGGAAATAATTGAAGTATTCTACATACTTGTTCAAGAATTTCGCTTTGAAAATTCCAATTTTAATGGGTATACTTAATCACAGTATGTGTCTTTGTTTGCACTACAAATAGAAAATTTTTGCAAGACAAAACCCGTTATTTAAAAATTCTTTGGAGGTCATACATTACTAGAGGATACAATAATGCTTTTACGTATAATCTGTAATACCGTAGTCAACGACACTTTTAGTTTCAAGTCCAATAAGGTATACATATATTTCTTTATTAGCGATAATTGTACAATTTTAAGAGGTGAAATTATATTTTCGTATACACTAGTTGTGGTAACAAAATCTGACTTTTAATTTACAACAAAATGAATTATTATTTTCACAAAACAAATATCAAAAATATGATTACAAAGTTTTCAATATCTTTAGTATTAGATCGGATGAGTAAAATTCGTAATAAAACTTTCATCTCTTAAAATCACTTTCATATACAAATAAACAAATATAGGAAGAATTTATTGAAATTGAAAAGAAAAGTCTCGTAATCACAATATCATTATTAAAAGTATAATTATAATATAGTCTTCTTGCAACTGATGCTACAAATAAAATAATGTAATTTTTTTAAATTAGAACGTGTTATAATTCTGTAAATTTACTTTGCTGGATCAATAAAAATATGCAAAACTAATGTTTCATAATAATTATAGTAAATTAATCCTTATAATTTTAAGTCTAAAATTTGCACATATTATAACTGGTCGTTATCATGAAAACTTGGTGTTTATGGAGCTTGCAGTGTAAAAGACTAAACCCATGGACTGCACTGATTTAAATAATGTTCCTTTAGTAGTATTTCTCCATTCTATGAAGTTTATAAACCTTATAGAAATTTATTTGCAAATATATTTTAAATGCTCCTTTATATTAATGGGCAGGTAAGGCTTATTTTAGAAACATTGTACACATTTTACGTGTACTCACCTACCATATTTTTCCTCCTATTTGTATATATGAAACCTGTAAACAAAACGTAATTACTATAAAATAATTTTATATTAATATTTTATTTAAAAAAGAAAATAGTATATTTATAAAACATGCTAACAAGAATTGAGTATTACATTTAGTATACATTATTAAAAATTTCGAATAACTGAGCTTTCTTTTAACCAGAATTAATGGTAATTGTTTTTTTACTATTTTCTGTTGTAACTGAGAATCGTTTAGAAATTTATATGAATATACGAATTAGGCTTACCTGGTCAATATCAAATTTTTACAAACAAGATTTTGTGAATATTTGTATAAATTGTGTTTTAAGTTTTAACCTTGTTGAAAAATATAAGTATACAACACGTTATCACTTCTTGGCTTATTTAAATTCTAGCGATACTACAATTTTTAATTAGAAATATCAGCCTTAAATTGTAAACTCATATCAAACTAGTTCTACTATGTATAATTATACTTTTGTTCGTATAAAAGACTTTAACTATAATATAATTATAAGCTGCTCAAAATAGAGAAATAAAATCTTCCGTTGTTGATCTTCCGTGTAGATATTAGGAACTATTTGCCACTTTGAAGATTCTAATTTATGAAAGTACAAAACTGTATTGCTGATGCTTTTATTTACAGTAAATTATATACTTTCGACAAAAATTTCATTTCATTGAAATTTTTAATTGCAAGTATGTGTATTATAAATAAATCATATTTGTACAGGGTGTTCGACCCTCCTTGGGAAAAATTTTAATGGGAGATTCCAGAAGCCAAAATAAGACGAAAATCAAGAATACCAATTTGTTGATTGAGGCTTTATTAAAAAGTTATTAACGTTTAAATTTCCGCCTGTAGATAGTGATTCTCACTCAGTATGAGAAACTCTACTTAGTGACGTATTGACAGCCTCACAGTTTTCTGAATGAGAACCACTATCACGCGCACGCAGATAGCCGTTCTACAGGCGGAACTTTAAACGTTAATAACTTTTTAACAAAGCCTCGATCAACAAATTAGTATTCTTGATTTTCGTCTTATTTTAGCTCCTAGAATCTCCCATTAAAATTTTTCCCAGGGGTGGCCGAATACCCTGTATAAAATAATGACATACTTAAATTATATTAAATAAGAAATTAATATTTTAAATGAGCACCAATTTGCATTTAAAGCAAAACAAGATAAAAGAAGCATCAGAATAAATTTACCTTTCTTTGCGGAAACAAAATGTTTTTTTTGTGCTTCCTGCTGATTTATAGAACAAACAACCGTATTTGCTTCTAAAGTTGGCGGAAACTTTGTAGCCAATTTCCTTTTCTTCACGGGCGTTTCTTCATCCAGTGTTGGAACCATCTGTTTTTTAATAAACTTCGACGATTGCGCATCTATGTTTTGTAATGTCCATTTGATACCAGATTTAATGAGAATATTATTTGAAACTTCAGTTATATGTTTATCTGTGGTAAAATTCACTTTTGTAATATCCATGTCGACCTTTATATTCCTTTTAAAATATTTAAAGCAAGTCTTGCTACCTGGTGTATGTGGCTGTTCCACAGATCTATATAATACACTTGAATCTTCCCAGACGTTATCTTCCGTGTTGTGTTGAGGGTTCTCCAGTTTGGGATCTTCCTTGAAGATTGTATTCGTTGTAGAATCTCCGTGATAGTTTAGTAAAATTTGTTGCTTTCGTGGGGACATATTTCTCAACTGCTGAATACCTACACACTTCAATTGCTTGTAGATATTTCTAGATGTGCATAAAGTGTGAGGTGATTTTTTACGATATGACGTGTGAAATGATGATAGCGGCAATTCGCACGTGCTTTGAATATCCTTATGATTCAGAGGATTGATAACAGTCAGTTGTGAACACCTTAGGCTCACTTCATCCGAATTAGGTTCAACAACAGGCGATGGCATTTCTTCTTCTTTCTCCTCCTTCTTAATCTTCTTTTTATATCTCACTTTTCGCTTAGATGATCTAGATTGTGCGCTAACTTCTATTCTATGTTTCATAATATGATTTTGCTGTTCTTTACAATTATGTTGTATATTTTTCTGAATATTTCTTTGTTTCAAAGAATTTTCGCATTCTATAAATTCGTATTGTGAGGTTGCAACAGTGTTACATGGCATTAAATCTGCGGAAGACAACAAGTCAGAATCTGAAGGTTGTTTTGTCGCCAAAGGGCTTGTTCTAAGTTCCATATAAGTATGCTTATGCGATGACGAAAGATCATCTTGTTGACTTGTGCAATTCATTACAACATTTGATGAAACGTCATTGGAAATACACATTTCAGACGAAACACGATTTACCGAATCGCCGAAAGAACGAACTTCATTAATCGTATCTTCTTTTTGAAAAACGTAAGATTTTTCTATTACAGTATCGGTATTAAGTTTATCAACAGGACCAGAAAGACTGGATTTAGGAAGCGGTTCTTTTAGTTCGGAAGATATGTTATCCGAATTGGCTAAGATAGTTGGCTGATTGGAAAAAGAAGATATATCTTTAATTAACAAATGAAATTCAAGCGTTTCTTCCTTATTAGAATTTAATCCAAATCCAACTACATTCACACTACTGTCGATAGGATCGTTTTGATTATCCTTCTCTTTTTGTGGAAGCACATCATCTTTATTGTTTTTTCCAACTATAACCGTTTTCTTCGTATGAGAATTTAATTCCGAAATATTGCTATCTTTCACCGAAAAAATCTCTCCCTCGAAACTCTTTTTAATTAATCGCGGATTAACTGTTTGTACATTCGAATACATAAAATCGTTTGGAGAAGAATCCATATTTGTTAATTCGAAATCTAATAAAGAGTTTAATATTCCCATTGTTCCAAGACTACCTTCGGGTAATGGTGTTATAGAATTATCTGCGTCCGAAGTAATATTTTTTTCGCCCTTTTCATTTTTGCATATATGTTCAGCTTGCGAGAAAAATTCCGTAATACAATTCAACACATTATTTGAATTATCATAATTAATCGGCGAGATTAACGAGGATTGTGAATTTTCCAAAATTTCTTGCTCGTCTTCCATAGTCATATCTCCATTCAGAATGCTGTCTAAAATATCAATATTTTCGAATTCATCTATAAAATGTGTTTTTGCTTTATCGGTTTTCAATGAGGAATCATCTTGCAACATGGACTCGCAATGTAAGTTTTCGGTCCGATTCTCAGTACTTTTTATATCATATGGTAAAGATTCGCTTGTATGTGTTTGGTTATTTGTTATCATAGCAACTTTATGCCCACCTGTTTTCCGTGGCCGATCTGTTATAATTTCAAAACTTTCGCTGTTTTCCTCTTTAATGACCTGTTCAAATTCAGATTTAATGTGACTACAAACAAAACTTTCGAATAACTTATTTTCAGAAAAAGTGCTATGATCCTTTTCGTAGGAATGTAATTCCTTTGGTTGCGAAGATGAAATCGTTAGTTTTTTACAAATGTCTGAATCACATTTTCGCTGGTTTAGCACTCCGTTCGTTTCCTGGTTACCGCCCAGTGTCCAACCTAACGATGACTTTACAATCTGATCCCCGAAAACTGTAGTGGAAACTGTGCACGTGTCAGTGTTGCTTAAACACTCCGGTCGTTGTTTTTCTGCGTGCACAGTCATAATGTGTTCACCGATACGATTTAAAACGTCCATGCATTTGTCTAGATCGCTCAGCATGCACATTATATTTTTATCGGAAATTGATTTCTTATCCATAGTGTTATCGCGTACTGTAGTTTGCGTTGTATCCCCACTCTTTGTCGTATTAAATATACTAAAATTATGACAGAAAAAGGGTTTCACTTCAATTTTCTTACTGCAATCGCACGAGACCTTTTGCTTCACAGATTCCGTTATTTGCGAACTAGTATTCAGAAATCTAGAGTCAGGTAAACGAAAATCGTTTTGTACATTCTCAGATTCGTTTCGACAGTAAGCATCAGCTTCTGTCGCACCATAATCTGTACTTGTTGGTAACTCTTGCTTTATAGACTGTGTATTTATAATACTGTTTTGGCACTCTTTTGACAAGAGTATCGTTTCTATAGAACTTTCTGGTTGTGAAAATGATTCTTCCCCAAAATCCTTACTTAGAGTATTTATTTCGCTAGATTCATTGGCTGCGCTTCTAGAAAAAAGTGTATCTTGAGAAGACATATTCTGTTCTCTACTCTCCCTAAATAAGTTTAATATGGTTTTTGGTTCTTTAACATTTTGTCCAACTGGATTTAAAAGTTTCAATAAAGATAAAACTTTATTGTGTTGTATATCACTTTGCTTTAACGATAAAGTACAGATATCACATTGTTTATGCTGAAATGTGCATTTTAATTCTTTAGATCTTTTATTGCAAATGTAATCGTGTATATTCTGAGAATCAATATAATGAATATTATCTTGTAGTGGCTCTTGTTCTACCAAACTACAACAACTTTCTGTACTTTCGCTAACTTTATTGTCTGAAATTGGTAAATATTCTAAAAGGATTTTATTCACAGAACATTCTGAATTTTCTGTGCTATGGGCATCTGCAATTTCCACTAGATTTTTACACTTCACTTCATCAACTTGCTTTTCTACTTTATATTTTTTCCTCGTCATTTTTAACCATTCTAATTTTCTTTTAGACTTCTTTTTCTTGCTTTTATCTACTCGTAATGACTCATTTTCTTCGGTTAAATCGATTAATATTATTTCTCCGGGTTTTAGCTTCGATGTTTTTTTATATTTCTTAAATTTGTTGTTTTTTTTCGCAGGAAAAATTTTATTAGCAGATTTAGTGAAATTTACTTCATTTTGGATAGAATTACTATTTTGAACACAGTTCATTTCGCTTTTGTTTAATTCATAGTTTATAGTACATTCTTGAATATAATTTATACCACATGATGAAATAATCTATAAATGTAAAAATTGAAAAGTTAAAAGTAAAAGATATATCAAATGAATGACACGTTACAATATCTGGAAATTACCTGTGATTTCTGGAAATTTTTCAAATCTCCATTTCTTGTTAAATGAGAATCTTTGTGTGGAACAGACAGTGCATCTTCAAATGCTAAGAAATTATTACATGCTGTTTTTAAATCAAATACATTTGGTTGTAGTAACCAAAGTGTTTCATTTTCGTGTCCTGTGGGTGGTTTTGGTATGATCTTTAATAACTCGTCGCGCATTTTTGGCGTACATGGACCTAGGATCATTAAAGCCATCTTATTTACTTCTTTTTTCTCTTTAAGGTTTTCCTTCATTCTTTTCCATATTTTTAAAATAAGCAAATATCTGATGTAATCTATGTCTGTCAAAGATTTTACCCTTCTTTTTAAGTTTGTGATGCTTCTCCTAATATAAGACAAAATTTTGTATGAAATATGTTATGTAGAAAATATTTTTATATTGAATTGAATAATACGTGAAGAATATTAAATAGTTACGTACATAAATATGGGGTCGCATAGTTTAGTATATTTTTTAGTAATATGTTTAAGTTTAAGCAGCACTCTAAAGATATGCTTCTCTGAATTATCTGAAATGAAATTTAATATTACGTAAAAAATTTTATTCGTTTTATTATAATCTTTCATCACATATTCCTTATTTTAACATACCTAAATATATCCACAATGTTGAAAGAAGTTTTGCAATTACCGAGGAAGAATCTTTAGTGTGCCTAAAAGTTTTAAGCTCCATATCTATATATATTCCTAACAATACTGACATTGCATTTAAATATATATCACAATCACCAACATACTGTAAATAAATAATTAGTAAATTTTTAATACTCGTATAAAATACATTTTAAAGTAATAATTTTTGGTAGTACCTCTTTAATGTCATGCCAGTAAATATGAAAAAATGTTAAGGTACTATTTATATGATTCTTTAACTGTATCATATGGAGTGCTTTTTCACAGTATGTATTTATACTAGTTAAAATGTTCCTGAAACGTATAAATGTCCATTATATCTCAGTTATATATTAAAATGATACGAATAGTTTACGGATGAAAAGACCTCAAACTATGTACTCTCAATTTTTTTTTAACGATGTCTAGAACTTAACAAAAAATTTAAGCCCAATTCTTTTTACTTATATACTTTTCACTTTCGTTTTTGAAGAAAATAATGATCTTACTGTGTATAAAGGGAAATTAAACGCTGTAACAGCTGAGAGCTTCTACTTCCCACAGATGAACACATCACTTTATTAAATTTAATAAGCCATGGAAATATAACTTTGGGTGTCTTAACATCAATAGATCGACTATTAAAAAGTTCTTGATTTTCATAATTTCCGGATACATTTAGGCAATCATTGTGTATCCGTTCCAAGTTTACTTCATTTCTTTCAGCCATTGTTGTATCTTGATTATAACAGCTTTCTGTAAAAAGTATTAAAATTAAGATTATATCCAATTATCTTATACATATAAAATTATATGAGAGGTACGAAATATACATTGAATTCTAAATTACAAAATGTAATTCACAAATTTGTTTCACGTGGATTAATATTTTTATAACAATAGGTAGAGGAAGAATGTTCATTGGAAATATATTTATCTATTTATACCTCTCATGTTAGATTGTAACATTAATATTTACTACTTGAGGAATCATTATTTAATGAGTTGTCATTCAAGATAAAGGAACTGCTTATACCCATGTCCTGTGTAGGCTGAGTCATAATTGCCACTAAAAGTGAATCTAAAAATGCTAAAAACAAAACAAACATACTTGTAATATTCTAATATTATACATCAAATGATTTGTCAATTTTTAATATAGTACTGTCTAATAATTACATTCTAATATTTGGAGAATTATTTATAATAGCATTGACATTGCCAATTTCAACAATCTTGAAGTATATTAACTCTTTCCGGCACAGGATTTCAGATAATAAAATAGACCCATGTTGCATAGAAATTTTATTGCATTTTAAATTAAACAAAATTGGTATATTTTTATTAATAAAGGTATCACATAATGTAAAAACATAAAAAACATAAAAAAAGATTGTCGCAATAAACCTTCCGTTTGCAACAATTGATGAACCTGTATTGGCATGTTGAATGTTACCAACGCAAGTGAATACATTTGTAACATTTGTTAAAGATATTACCAACTGCTTTATGTAAATAAAATGAGCTATTTCAATATTTCAAGGTGGGACTAAAAATGTCCCACCATGCGTTACGGCGCATCAAAAAGGTGGAACACTTTTGATCCCACCGTGCCCCGAAGAGTTAAAGAAAGTTACCAAGAAAAACTATCTGTAAAATGTTCTTTTTCCACGCTCTCAATTTTGATGAAACACAGTTTGTAAAGCAGTTAAAAATAATGATTATGTATTTCTTTTTAATAACTGCAATTTAAGTTTAATATGAAAAGTTATCCTTCAAAGTTTCATACCCTGATACTATCTTGAAAACTATTGAAGATATCATTAAATTGTTTCAACTGATTCTTTATGGTTTTTCATGAAAAATAAATTGATAAAGAAATTGCTAGATTTAAAAAAAAAAAAACTTTCTTGTATTATAATATAGAAATTTTGAGAAATTATATCATTAAATTATAGTTTCATCAAAAATAATTATAACTCTTATGTTGGTTTTTGAGATATAATTATTAGAAACGGAGAAAGACTGTTGAAATTTATGAGGCTGATTCTATTGTGAATAATTTTTATCTTATTCAGCTTTTACACATAAGACAGTAACTTATGATTCAAAAATTATGTTACATCTATATCTACATGTGTTTATAAATTATTTATATTAATTCGTTAAACTCTATGTCCATCCATGGAAATAGTGTCAGATTGAAATAATATGTAAAAATATGTTTATACTCTTTTAATGGATTTTATTAAAACATATTAAATAAGAATGAGGTTTTCTGTTTGTTGTTGTTTGTTTATATACAAATACATTTTCTGTATTTACATGGTACCTAAATGAAAACAAAACTAGTTATAATTATGATGAAACTGAGAACACAGATTATATTTATAGTAATATTTTATTGCATCAGGAAACAAAACGTACAAAAAGTTATCAGTATATAAGTAATCATTATTAGGAACTTATGCTCTTGGACAAAAAGATAATACACGTATGCTATCTTTATTTGCTCTGAAACTACGTAAAATTTTTCAAATATAATAAATAGTACGTAAAGGTCATGACGCAAAAGAGAGAAACATGTTAAAAAACAAGAAATGGTAGCACATTTACAAAATCTCTAGATAAATTTATTCTACAAACACAATTTACATAAAAATTAGCAACGAGTATAACTGCCTTTATTCTCAATGACTTCAATCATTCGATTTGTTAATGATTTATACAGTTTTTTTATTGTTTCTTGGGATAATTTGTCCCATCCTTTTACGATGGATTCTTTTAATTCGTGAATATTCTGATATTGCCTTTCATTTTTGTATACGGCATGTGTTAATTCACCCCAACAATTCTCTATTATATTTAAATCGGGGGATTTGTAAAGTATGCTTTTACAATTTTAGCACGATACACGATTACTGTTCATTTTGCCATTAATGAAGTTTATATCAGTATTTCCTGTGTAACCAATTCCAGCCCAAAACATTATCCCACCACCATCCATTTGTCGTCATTCTTTCACAATTTCTTCCTTTTGTATGTCATAATAATAATACAAAAATCCACCAGAACCATCCAAATTAAATTTTTTCTCGTCCGTAAATAAAATTCTGTTCCATTTTCACTTCCAGTGAATTTTGGTCTTTGCGAATGCTACTCGTTCCTTCTTGTGTTGTTCTGTTAAGAGGAGTTTTTGTTTCATCTTCAGTCGTTGAATAAAGTTACACCTCTGAAGAACATGGCATACACTACAGATGTTCGCTCTAACACCTGATCGACAAATAATTTCACAAGATGTTAATGCCGAGTTTGATGCGACTCGTATAATGACCTGTTTGTCTTGTTCCGATAAAGATGGTGGCCTCTCTGAACTTTTTTTTTGCCATAATTTGCTGGATCTTTCAACAAATTATATATAACTTCTCTGCTTCTTTTCACAATTTTTGAAATTTGAGAAACATTCAAATTACGATTTTTCAGCTCAATGATCTCTCTAATCTCTTATTTCCATGACACATATCAACACCTGATCGTGTAATAAACAGCACCTGTTCACAACTGCTCAAGAGATCACGAACTACTGAATAATGTCAACAAAAAGTTCAGTGTGCTATCATTTCGCCCTCTGTGTTTACATGTTTTTTTTTTGCAAACTGCAAATATTAGCAAGATCGTTCTTATTTTCTAACGTGCTTCTTCCTCTTGCATTGTGACCCTTACTTACTATTTTTTACACTTGAGAAATTCTACGTAGTTTCTGAGCAATTAAAGATAGCACACATGTGTTATCTTTTTGTCTAGGAGTGTATACTGAATAAATATACAGCATAAAATATACTTATGGTAGAATAATATGTTTAAGTCAGTTATGTTTGAATGACAATATTGGCAGATGTAAATTAAATATATTTTGTATATTCTCATCTATATTTGGATATCAAACAAACATAAGGGAATTTCCAATATTTTTACAAAGAATAATTATTGATAATAAATACAAAACATAATGTTTGCAAAAGTATGGATCCTAAAACAAACTTATTTTTAAATTTGGTTTAAAATTTTCCATATTAACAAAGTAAATTTTGTTCTATAATATCAACAACAATAAACAGAAATTTAAAAAAGAAATGTTATTGTATGGAAAAGAAGAGACTAAATTATAATACTTACAAAACACTCCAATGCAGTTTGAAAAATATCATAAAAAGAAAAGATTTCCAACACTATTAACATTTGTAATAATTTCTGTCATAGAATAAAAAGAACGAATTCAATTCAGACAATCTAATATATTTGTTTAGACCTAATCATATTATTTTAATTTAGGTATGCAGAAACTAAAATATGAACTTCGATAATTTAAAATGTAAAATGTACATGTATTATCACTCATCATAATTGTGGTCAGTTTTATTTCATTAAGTACACTGTGTCAATACTTTTCTTTAGCACTGTATATGTAACAAAGTAAACACCGGGATGAGAAAGGGAACGCTACCTACTGTCCTTAGATCACATCCAGCGTGGTATACCGACCAAACAAAAGGATATAAAATCAGATTAATTAAACGATAATCAGGCACCCCGCGACACAATAATTGGCACAAAGTTCCGCATTCCCGCAATCGTTTGATACGATCGCGTATCGGTGTTTGAAACGCGTCATGCAGAAAATCTGGAGGTCTAATATTCAATAACAAACGTACGCAAATTTCCCTTGATCCGAACTTATTTCTGGAAGCGTGTCTAGAGCGCAGAGACCGAATGTCCCCCCACTCTTTTGGCTATTTTATATCGTATACTACTAGTACATACCCGCAACAAAATGAAGCTAAATGGGTACGACAGTCGCTGTTTTTTTGTCGTGTATTACCATTCTCATTGCTTCAGTTTTTCGTATTCGCAATAGCGCTCGGTCGCACGCGACGATATTTTACTGCGGCTTGCGCCGTCTGCTGTCGATGCACTCGAAACTTACGACAGTTCTTCGAAAATCGAGTGAACGCGATGCCTTGCAACGACGCTAAGGTAACGCCGCCCGTGACCGTAGCTTTCGGAGCATCGGTGCTAAAGCGTGAAAACAGGTACGGCCGCACCCTTTGGGGGACCCTAACGCAAAATCACAATTATCAAATAGAATTAAAATTATTCAAGTATTTTACTACGAATAGCTTTTGAATAATTATTATTCGAATAAAAAAACATTCATCTATTTGCTCTATTTAAATAATGCGGAAACTGGTAATGTGTTTAAACGTTATAGTAATTTCTTTCATTGTGTCACTATTTCGAGAATGAACATAATGAACATGTGACATAATGTGAAAGACATTCAATCATTCTTATCCCTCCTTGTGAAGCGAATCTTACTCGGTTATATTTGCATGATGACGATGGCAGTTAATTATAATATTATATATTTTTTAGAAAGTAATACGTATATTTCAATAATTTTCACTATATTTTATATTTTGTTATTCGTTAATGTTTACGTTCGTAAAATCTTTACTTTAGTGGTTTTACCGTAAATCTGTATATTTTTTTATGGTTTTTCAGAAAAGGCTGTATCTATTTACAAAGAAATATAGTTGGGGGAAGGTGAAAAAGTAATGCACATTTGCATTTTTTTTACATTAGAGACTTAACATTTTAAGAAACTATAGTATTCGTAGGGCAATCCCGATGATTTTTGAGTATGTAAAAATAGCCAAATGTATTGATTAAATTAACTAATTAGCGGGGATAATATGACACATTGAGAGAAAACTCGTAATACAATAAAAGAAATCATCGTTCATTTTGTCGTTAGCTAACGTTACTCTAGTCACCACCTTGATAACGATATTACATGCAGTTATGACGTAACTTATATTCATTAAAAATAATTCAAAAATCTATCACGCAGTGTTACATTTATTTTGTGACATCTTGCTTACTTCATTTCTTTCTTCTAATATAATTTCTAACATTTCGAAAATTTTGAACATTAGTTTGGATTTTTTTAGTAAAAGAAATACTTGTCTCTCTTTGCGAAATTTGAATTGTATGAATATAAAAGTTACATTAAGTTTACAATTTGCTTAGTTATACAGGGTGTTCGGCCACCTCTGGGAAAAATTTTGATGGGAGATTCTAGGAGCCAAAATAACGCGAAAATCAAGAATACTCATTTGTTGATTGAGGCTTCGTTAAAAAGTTATTAATGTTTAAAGATCCGCCTGTAGAACGGCAATTTGAGAACAGCCGCGCACGCGCGATAGTGACTCTCACTCAGAAAACTGTAAGGCTGTTGATGCGTCAGTGAGTAGAGTCTCTCATGCTGAGTGAGAACCACTATCACGCGCACGTAGCTGTTCGCAGATTGCCTACCTGCAGGCTCAACTTTAAACGTTAATAACTTTTTAACGAAACCTCCATCAATAAATTGCTATTCTTGATTTTCGTCTTATTTTAGCCTCTAGAATCTCTCATTAAAACTTTTCCCAAGGGTGGCCGAACACCCTGTATAGTTTCTAATATTTCGAAAATTTTGAACATTTGTTTGGATTTTTTTAATAAAAGAAAAACTTGTCACTGTTTGTAAAATTTGAATTGTATGAATATAAAAGTTACATTAAGTTCACAATTTGCTTAGTTATATATTTAAATTTAAACTGGAGAATATATTTAGATGATCTAACTCTTTTACTGTTCTACCGTATTGAAATACGCGTTTATTAGCCTAATGTGTGATATTATAGTGACATTCATACTGTTGTCAGAGCGCCAAAGTGAACAATATAAACAAAACAGAAGCGCGTGAGCATTCAAACCGAATGCACCCTCAGTATGCACGCCACTGAGGACAGAAGTTGCACACCGAAGCGCAGACGTTACTCGAACTTTTCGACTATAATAACCGCTAGCGGCCGATCACGTATGTGACATGGCGTCCGGGTAGAAAGAAAGTTGACTGTTAAATAAGCGTTAATGTTGTTTTTATGACATTGACCGACCGAAAAGGGAACATCCGAGGCCGCGAATTTCCCACAGACACCGGCATTGATGGTAATGCATGCGAGGAAACCCCAAAGGATCAGCGATGGGTAGGGTACCGCCGTCAAATACCCAATCCTGACACAACCAACCTCTACTCACCTCACCTCTCATCTCCAAAGTCCGTCCATCCGACCCACTCGACATCACTAACCGCCATTCGCGGGAGATTTTCCTCGATGGAAATTTCATTTACCATCCTGGAATACCCGCTGTCTTGTGACTTTATTCACGATTTATTCTGTATGATTTCAGGTACTTCGAAAAGCACCAGGCCCATCCCTATCAGGTAAATATCATTCGAGTAATTGATATCGGAGGTTTCGGAGGGGGGTAATTCGTTTACAGTACAATTGCACCAGAGCTGGGTAAACTTTGAAACTGAAGTATTTAAAATATCATTTTAAATAATGAACGCAACTGTAAATGCAAATAAAATAGTATTTTAAGTCTAACATGAAAAAAACGTAATAAGTAAAATAGTTCCATTTAAATAACTAAAAAAATTTTTCAATTGCTGAATAAAGTATTTCATTTATGGTTTTGTACTGTTTAAAATATTTTATGATGATAAAAATAAAACAGAACAGACTGAAACTGAAATTGATACTTAGAATAGAAATTGAATAAAATTTTACGTGAAACTGTTTTGTAGATTATCAACTCGATAAATCTATTTTGAGTTTTAAGGTAATACAGCATAAGATCTAAATTTGAGTCATAAATTGTTGTATTTGAATTCTGTAGGCCTTATGTACGTTTTACAAGATATAAAATAAATGTAAGCATGAATTTAGGTAGTTTGCATTTAATCACTAATATATTATGCCTTATTTTCAAAATCGCAAGATATTTGAGACATTTTAAATATTTCAGAGTTACAAATGTAAAATTTTTACTCTATTTTCTAACTATTTAAATAATATTTTTATGTCTAGAATTTGTATATTACATTTGAAGTGTCATTTTGTTTGCATTTATTCCGATAGTTTACTATTTAAAATAATATTTCAAGCCATATTCATGCCCATGCATACATGATTGTACTGTAGTTTTTATTCGTCTGTGCTTGAAAGAATCCTAATTTTTATAATTGCTTCATGTCTTTTCCTTTGAAAAAATTGTATCGTTAACTGTGTTGTTTGTTCTCATGGTTCTTTCATATTTCATGCATCGGTCTTTCTTTCTTTTAGTTCGCTAATAATTAGATTATATTTGATACAGATTGTCAAAAGAAAATTTTATTATACATTAATATTTTTTATGTTTTATCTGCATTTGACTCATTTGTTATGAGCAAGTGTAATAAATATTGGACGATTTATGAACTGTAGTTACTTTGCTCAAAATGTGTGATATGACTTGCATATTGTAAATTTTGTTTTTTTTTTTGTCGATAAATATGTGATAAACTTTTCATGTTAAGAATTGAAATATTTCGTTAAAAAATATTAAATAACTTAATTTAAAGTAATTTATTTTTCTACAGAATGTTTACAGTATGAATAGAAGAAAGCATGCAAGTGTTTAATTATAATATGATTATTGAATGTCTATAATAACAATTCACTGTATAGATAGTTTTTTCTCATTGTGTTTGAAACATTACAATAAAAATAATTGGATTGTTCGTATTTTCTTGTGAATATGTTGTAGACATAATTATAATATTGTCCTTGACCATTACATATTGTAATTATTAATTATAATAAGTAATGAGTGTGCATTGTACATGCTTATTTTTTAAATATATCATGTATAATTTAAATTGATTAAAACGTAGATAATATATAAATTCATGTAGATTTACTAGTTTAGATGAAATACAAAAATTTTGCTTGATCTTGTAAACATAACCTCACTTTCAGAAAATCAATAATCCATTCTTTTACATTGTGTAGATTACTAACAGTATATTAGAAGTGTTACATGAATGCAATAACGAATCTCCTGCCATTAGTAATTTACTTTTAGAAGTTATAGTTTTTATAATAGTAATTTAGTTGTTATTATTTGAACTTAGACTCTTGTGTACATAACTTGCAAGGCTGTTGTGTCAAACTCTTTTTTAAGAAAACACAGTACATAATTAAGTATTTTTTGTATAAAAGATATTTAGAGTAGTTTTTTTTGGCACATATAGATATATTATTCTTATTATACTTTTTATTGCAATGACGATGATATGATAACATTAATTTTAATTATAATGTAACAATACTTCATTTTATTGTGTTAACGTTTTTAATAAATGTGCGTTACAAATATTTTGTAAGAATAAAAAATCAACGCATAAAGGAAAAACAATCTTTAGTAAGTTAAATGCTAAGAATAATTTGTTGGTAATGCCTAACAAACTTATACCTATTTATAGAACGCAAAGTACAGCAGTTCTAAGGGTGGCTACTCCTCATCAACGACATCATCAGATAGTCGTTACGAAGGACGTATGCGGGATTCCCCAAATGGCAACTCTTACAGTCCAGCAGCAGGTTTGGGTTTGGGCATGGGAACAGACAGAGATAGCCCTCGGAACTACACATCTAAGCCCCTTTACAAGAAGGAGAGAGAAAACAGAGACTATAAGTTATCCTCCTCTAGGGACAAGTATTCTGGTAATTAACTTTCATATTTCTCTTAATCTAATATAACATAGGATAACATAGTACAAGGTAATATTAATAGTCAGAAACATTCTTAACATATTAGAGACACGTAGTGATAAACTTATAAAATTATATATCTGTATCTGGAAAACATGCAACACTATGCCATAGAAATAAAATTTGTGACGGCAGTAGCCAATAGAATATTATTATTAGTATTATTATACAAGTATACTTGCAATAGAAATTATACTGTCAGTTTTGCTAGTGATATTATGACTAAAATATTAAGGCTATAACAATTTATTCATTGTCGTGTGATATACTCACATTCTTCCTTGAAAGAAAACAATATCAATATTCTGCAACAATGTAGTTTTTTTAAATATCATTTAGATGTAATTGAATATTGTTTTTATGTTTTAAGTTATCTATGGAATGTATGATAGGCTTTCGGTAAACAAGGTAAAAATTGAAGGAAATATATGTTTTGTTGATTTGGCGACTGCTTGTAAAATGACTAATAATTAAATTTCTTCTTGTACTACTAAAATTTATTTCTGTGAACTGTCAATTTTCGTCAAAAGACGTTTTGAAGTACGACAAACCAATGTTTTCCTGTGTGAAACAACACTGATTGTTTATTTATATCTACCTGCTTAAATAAAAGAAGTGATTGTGGTACATTGTAAAGGGAATTAGACATAGTATTCTTTTAAACATGTTTATTTCGTTTATTAATTAAGCTAGAGTACAGCGTTGCGCTATTAGATATTACAGGAGAGAATATTTAAAACCTATAAAAAATTAGTTTTTATAAAAATTTAACACAGTGTCATGTACCTCCAGGATACAGATATATTGATCGGACAGTTCAGTGAATTCGCTTTATAACAAAAAATGATACAGTCATTTTTGCTATAACCCAATAATATTATTTCTAAAGAATTGAGGATTATATTATATTAAGAAATGTTACAAATTGTATTGTTGAAACAAGTAACTTTATATTATTGAATAAGAAGTTAATATATTAAAAAAAGTATTATTATTATTAGAATGACATTATCATAAATATTTGAAGATTTCAGAGTAAGGTTTTATAAGATTTATACTTTGCAAATTAATTTTTGTAGAAAAAGAAATATTACTTATTGGCGTATAATAATATTTATAGTATAAAGTGCGACTCATATGTAACTACCTAATTAATATAAAAATTAAATTCATATTTATCATATTTATATTTTGTATCAATTGTTTTAATAATGGTATTTTAATTATTACTTAAAGGTGATTCATTGTCAATATTTCATTATATGTGTCATAGAGAATTGTTTTGAAGTCAAAAATATAGTATTATATACTAGTTTAGAAAATTAATTATTTACAAGATTCTATATATTATAAGGATAATGTATTATTCCGCGTTTATCTTGTTTGAAATAATTTTTAATTAGAGTAATAGAAGATTCCCATGTTGCATAGTAATTTAATCATGTAATAGAAAGCTGCGTTATGGCAAAATCGGCTGTATAACATTCCTTTGCTTTGAGAATTAAAGTTTTAATTCTTCCTTCTTCAGTATAAAAACAGGATTGTGTCTTAACATTTTCAGCTGTAACATGCTTGCTTGCATATGTGTAGATTGTGCACGATCCCCAAAAGACAAGAGAAGCCGTGAGAGCAGAGATTCAGAACACAGGACCAACCACGATAGGAGTAGTGGAGAAGTAAGAAATTTGTTGGCAATTATTTAATCCTCCGGTAGGCGCGCTTTTTATCGTAAAACTAAAACAAATATGTGGATCAAATATATAGAATAAACCTTTAAATGAGAAATAGAAAAGTTCCAAAGTCGATTCGATCACAGAAAAAAATGTTTTTGGCGAAAGACTAAGTCGTTTACTCTGTAGATGGGTGCGCCTGCCGGTGGATTAACTCATTTAGAGTGGACAAAAAAATTGTACATATATATTTTTCCTTACATGTGCAATTTAAGTACACCACACTTTTTAATTTTCTTGTAAAATGTTTCATCAGATTGAAATTAAAAATATATGTATTAAACAAATCTATAGTACTGCTTCTATTCTCAGAACTAAACTGAGATCATTATATTTTATATGGAGAAATTTGGGCAAGACTTATTCTTGGAATTGGTCGAATTCTAACAGGCAGCTCAAATAGGTTTTTTTAATTACACAACTGTCAGCTACTTGAGGAGAGATGATTTCATCGCAAGTATCCTTAACATAAATTGATGCAAAAAGTGAGGCAGTGCTGTACTTAAACTTTATACACATATTTATAGAAATAATTACTAAACATTTCGTGATATTATCTTCAATGCTTCCTTATACATTTATGGACTGTTGAATAATTTGTACATAGTCACAGCCTTAAAATTTTTTAAAAGAATTTGTACGTCTTTCACAACGAATGATTAAAATTTTGAATATTTTGTATGCTTTTATAGATTTTACATCCTATAAAATTATCATCAAATTCATCGAGAGAGTCTTCATCTCAGAGGAAACCATCGCATAATTCCTGTCAGGTCAGTATCAAATATATATTGATATTTACTAATGAAATTAGCAGTGGAATCATGTATTTATGGAATACAACAATATTTTTATGCACATATCATTAATTAATGAAATAAAAAATAAGTATTATTATAGTCCAATCAGTTTCTTTTTAAGTTGAGTATTGTAAACAATGGAACCATTACATTTAATATGTGAATTGTAATAGGAACAGTTGGTTAAAAGTTATTAGAATCTGCAAATTGATTAATATCATTAATTAATAATATACAAATTGATACTTTGTCAAGGTATTGTAATATACAAGAAGTGTAACATCTTTCTCAAAGTGTTAAGAAATTTTGAAGAATTGAGATTTGGTAGGTGAACAGGATCAGCAACGTGGACAAATGTAATTTCAACTTTTCGAACAAGTTTTGGAATTTTGTATAAATATTTTCCATCCATTCAATCATTTCCGGAAATTTTAGAACAGTTTGTTTAGGACAAACGCGGTGATGAACGAGGAGGCGCAATGGAACGTTCGGCCAGGTTTGGTGATTGGTCAGAACATATGAGTTCTTCGGGCAAGAAGTATTATTACAACTGTAAAACAGAAGTTTCTCAGTGGGAAAAACCACGGGAATGGATTAGTCGAACAGATAATCGACAACGTCAGTCCAATGATTATTCTTCTAGGTCAAGTACGTCTAACGATATTATATCATTAAATCTGCTGTCTTACTATAAAAACATTTATTTACGCAATAATTCATAATATTTATTAGTGGCAGTAATTTATACACTGCTAAAAATAAGTAAATTACCACCTATTCAATGATTGTGATGCCTAGTTAACTCTTTGCGGCACAGGATTTCAGATAATAAAATAGACCCATGTTGCATAGAAATTTTATTGCGTTTTAAATTAAACAAAATTGGTATATTTTTATTAATAAAGGTGACACGTAATGTAAAAACATAAAAAAAATAGTAATAGTTGTTGCAATAAACCTTCCGCTTGCAACAATTGATGAATCTGTATTGGTATTTTGAATGGTGCCGACATAAATGAATACATTTGTAACATTTCTTGAAGATGTTACCAACTGCTTTACATAAATAAGACGAATTATAAACCTATGCTCATGCAGCTATTGCAATATTTCGAGGTGGGACTAAAAATGTCCCACCATGCGTTACGGTGCGTCGAAAAGGTGGGGCAGTTTTAATCCCAGCGTGTCCCAAAAAAGTTAAGGGGCATCAAATATTTAACAATCTCTAACATACTATACAAGTTGGGTACTCAGTATGAATGTCCTAATGCAATATATTATTTTCTTTTATTCTTAATATCTGATTTATTTTGTCAATTTGTTCAAACGCGTGATTTTTTAATTCTAAACGGTACAAGGAATGTAAATAAATTTCCATTATCGCATAATGTTTGCTTGTTACCATAATTGAAATCGCATTATTCGGTATAGATAGATCTTAATCTTCGATTTTCTCGACTCGCAGGTCACGATAAACATTCCAACTCGCGGTCGAATAGCAGTAGCAGTGTGCGAGATGGTAAATCATCACGTCAGTCCGACAAACGTGAATATTGGAGTTCATGCAGTGGAAGCGGCGGTGGTAGTAGTAGAGAAGAGGTTTCAGCTAGGGAAAGGGAAAAAGAAAAAGAACGGGAACGGGAACGAGAAAGAGATCGGGAACCATGTAGAGAAGATGCGGGAGTGGAGCGCCAAGCTCAGGATATGGACATTTCACCGGGTGATTCTACACCGACCTCTGAACCTCTCACATCTTGCACTCACGATTCACTGCCGCAAGGTCCTGTTTTGTTGGCCACTGGTATGTCCCATTTAGAGGGGTATTTTTTTCTCGAGTCAAAATAAAGCAATAATTAATAAGTATTTTAATCTACAAATTTGCTATATATTTACTCATATTTGAAGAAGGTTTACAAATTTTTATATGAGAAATAATGCCAAGAGAATGGGTGTATCAGGTGGATAATAATGTGAAATATTTTGCAAGAGTGATTAAGACATTTTTAAACGATAATAATGTTCGTGTGACAAAGTGGCCTGTATAATCTACGGATCTTAATCTTATTGATATGCTATAGATTGATGTGGAGGGAAGAATTATTTACTACCATACAAGAAACATGGAATTTGAATACCAGCGAGTAAATGCGCAAGACTTATAGAATCTATGCTGTGAAGGTGTGCTGTAGTTATTCAAAATAAGGGTCTAGATACAAAATATTAACATGCTACATAATTTTGACTTAAAGAAACTTCAGAAAATATAGATATCTTTTAATCGTAGTAAATTAAAAAAAAAACTATTGTGTTATTTCATTACATGTATTGTAAACTCATAAAAAGGAATAATTAACTTTCATATACTTGCTTAATATATGAACACAATAAATATTATTCAATTCTGTTAACTATACGTAAGTATATGGTCGTCGCTGTAAAAAAATAATAAAAGAAATCAGTCTTTTTGACTCGAAAAAAATATTACCCCTTAAATAGTATAGCAGTGACGAAGCAATAGAGATTAGTAATAGATTGATAATTGGTTACAGCATTACCTCGATTAACATCACACCCACCATCGACACCACAAACACCTGGAAAACTTAATTCACCAACGCAACAACAAGGAAATAGTAATGCTCCGGGTCCACCTGTGTCGTTAGCAAATCTCCCGAGACTATTATCTCAAATCACAGGCAACAAAGAACAGCCTGATATTACACCACAAAAGGCATTGCAAACATTGCAAACGGCCGCCATCCTCTTGTCTCGACAAGTAAGCATACACTTATAGTTTGAGATTGGTAATTTCATTAATGTGCTTAATTAACTAGTGTATTAGGCTGCTGGAAAGTTTTTGTCACTTTTTTGAGGTAAAAGTATGAATATTGTTTACCTCTATAGATCTTTCTTTTAAGAGTATATAATTATCCCTCCTCCCGCTCATCATTTAGGTTTTATGATATTTTTAGTAAGATATCTGTGTCTTTTCGTCAAAAAATAACTCCTCCATATATTTCTAAATACACTATATTTCCTGCAAGAAACTGTTATATCTATTGTAAAGTACGACAATCGTAAGAAAGAAAAGTACTTTGAGAGTATAAATATATTTTTTTTTATCAAATGGCATTTATACCTGCAGTGAACGGCAATCTTTTGCATGTTTCATTTTATTAAACAAAATTTCAACACCTCTCTAAAGACAGCACAGACTTTCTAAACAATTTAAATCGTATTTCTTTTATTTAACTTATTTAATTTGTTGTCATTATTTTTAAATTAATAATTGTTGATAATCAATCTTGACACTAATTAATCAACATTCTACAACAACGGTTTCTAAACTTTTGTGGAAGGCGTCTCCCTTTGTCTCCTAAAAAAGAGAATTTGTATGCTTGAACGTTATAAAGAAAAATTGTTATTATTTATATATCTATTACTGATGTTATTTTTTATAAAAAAAAAATAGCAAAGAATTTGTTTACAAAGCTTCCTTATATCCAATAGGTTTCAAGCTAGCATTACAAGGTAAATTTTCTAAGGGTAGTTTCACCTGTTAAATTTTAATTACAGTCACTCGACAGACGTACAAAGATTCGTTAAAAATGGGGAGAGAGCTGAATTCCATGGATGTTACTTGTCAAATGCAATTAAGAAAGATTCATGTAACTATGTTAACTTACATTGTTAACTGTAGTAAATTACAACATATAAAGATAATAATAATTTCTCTTTATAAGTCAAAGATGTAGTTTCTGTGAAGCACGAGTTTTAATGATGTAACTAATAAGAATTATAAAAATTATTTGACTATGTTATTATATTTTAGCAGTCATCTAGCGGAGACCGGAATAATAGTGGAAATGACGTAATGGTCCCGCTAAAAGTTGACACAAGCGGCAACGTTACAAGCGAGGGACCACCTACTCCCACACATTCGGAAACCCTGGACTGTATTGATGCTCGAAAATGTATGTTGCCAGTGAATGATAAATTTAATATCCGCGTATATCTTAGAAATTTATAGAATGTTATTATTATGTCCTTATTTCTTTTCTCGCAGTAACAAGCCCTGGGGGAACGAATTCTGGAGTACAAGGTCTAAGCTCATTGCAAAGTCTTAGTACATTAGGTTCCCTTGGAAATTTAAGTAATACAGGTTTACAAGCATTGTCTAGAGTACAGCCTCCTTTAACACCTTCTTTAACACCGTCACTTGCTAATCACTATCGGGAAGATTTAACGCAACATGTGCGTGCCTTTCCTGCTGATATTCTTGAGAAACAGGTACACGCACACATTCACGAAATAATAAATCGCACATTCATATGAATATACGATTTGTATTATTTAAAATGTTTCGATAATTGTAATTAACAGGCACAGAAACTTAGCGAAGAAGCACACACAATGGGAAGTTTGCAGTGTACGAGAGTTTCGGCAGAGTTAAAAACGGCGCGATCGATAGTGAGGTTGACAGAAATTCAGGCAACGTTACAGGAACAAAGGTACATGTTACTTTTTGTTACGATAAAAATTTATCTGTCAAGTAACCAACATGGCGTATTCTAACACATTCAATGCGATAAACTTCTCTTCTTTAACATTCTAGGATATTATTTCTCCGTCAACAAATTCAAACATTGGAGGAACTAAAATCCCAAAATTCCTTCATGTCTGATGATTCTTAGTGTAAGAAACTTTATAAAGTAATTATAATTACAATCTATACTGAATTCATGCAAAAAATAAAACATAATTATTAATATTCTCATTAATATTGAATAATTAAGATTGTACCTAAATTATAATATCATGATAGAAGTGATAAATAGTAATGAATGTGGGGCTGCCTAGAGAGGATTGGCTGTTCCATTTATCAGCTAACGAGTCTTATTACAATTAATTAGGAAACCTACCTCTCTGGGAAGCACAGGAGGCCTACCCAACACGCAGACACAACACTAAGTAAATAGAAAAATGAATCTATTCTATCAGTTCATTGCAAACTATTGAATTGTCCACATCGTCTTGTATTACCTATGTTATACGTGTCAATGTTTCATATCCCAAGATTAAGCGGCATTTTAACTAGTTGAAACATTTTTGTTGTAAATCTCGGAATAAAATTCGTGCCAGAAGCTTTAATTCAGTTCTTTACCGCCATTATCACACCTAAACTCCCGTAGGTTATGTGAGCGAAATTGTTTTTGCTTTCTAATTATAGGTGTTTTTTTCTATTTAAAATATTTTCTTCTAATGCAATGTGTTAAAAAGGAATAAAAAATAAAATAAAAGCTTTTTTGTATACAATGAAAGTTCTTAGAGAACGAAATCATAACTTGTATAGAATTTTGTAAATAATTGTAGAGATACATATTGTAATAATCTAATTACTCCCATTGTTTTCCGACACCCGCTACAAAAGCAAATTGTACAGAGCGTACCAAAATTAGATAAATAAATGAAACACTTGGTATATTATAATCATAGATAATCTTTATTTTCTACGTAACTCCTCATACAGCTGTGCAACATAAGAAAATCAATTACATTTTGTATTCTTGTATAGTTCGTGTAAGCGAAAAATTTAATATACGTAGCTTTCGTAATAGACAATGCGACACTTGATAATAAATTGGAATTTTTAATTAATAATTACCGAGCTCCCTTATGCGGATTGAAAACCTTTAATTATCAATCACTCGATTTTGCAATGTCTTTTTAAATAGGAAAGAAACGCTTATATTTTGCCCACTCTAGTTTTGTTAAAGATACAACAAGAATTAGATTTCTTGCTTGTTCTGTACAGGGAACTGTGATATTCTGTGTTAAAAAGAAAATATTTTTAACAATAGCACGTAGAATGATATACATATATTGTTCAGGATGACGAAAACCACGAATATTACAGTAAGTTATAATATGGATTTCTTATTTTGTATATTTCTTTGAGGAACTGTTAAGGAGTGAGCTTGATACTTACAGAAATAAAAGGCAACGTGAAACGTAATCATAGAACATACATTTGATCTAAGAATTCAAGATTGCGACTGAATTCTAACATTCGTGTTTAGATTACTTTCTGAATGCGAACCAAAGGGTTTTTACGAAGTTGCGCGCATTTTGTTGCCCTTGCACTTGTATTTACTAGGAGAAAATGAGACTTTAAAGTGTAATTACATTGTACGATAATTGTACCACAGTTCAAACTCCTTGGTTCGCATTATTATTATTATCTAAATGCCCTCCTAAAATCGTTACTTTATTAGCTAAAAAATAAAACTGTAAACCCAAATTAAATATCATTGTTTTCAATTGATATTTTCATGTATCCTAATATTGTGTTATATAATTATTATGGGTACAGAGGAGGATAGTATTAAGAATAATAATGGTAATAATGTTAACGTGAATGTAACCTACTTACGGTGTTTCTCAACTTTAGCTCAATAGCCCTCGTTATCACAAATGTTACGTATTAAAACAACGTCACATTTATATAATAAATTATACAATATAAGGCTATTGAGATTTTCATTCACTATACAGTTATACATTCGTTCTGAAAACCATATCCGTCCTAGTTAATATACATTCATATTTCGCCACTGGCTCGTTTTACTATTATTTACGCATTTTGGAATAAACTAAATACTGTTATTATGCTTCCTTAAATAAAACATATACAATTTTATAACATATATTTTTTTAATATTTTTTATTTTATAAATTCTAATATAAAAGAACATTCGATTATCGTTAAGCGTATTTTTCTTGTTTCATTTGTGCGAATAAAGAGGTTGCCAAATTATATAAGTGTTTTACCGGTTGAGAAACACCGATACTCCTTTATGAGATTATCTAACATTATATCATGTCATGAGAATGCAATTACATCCCCATAGCACCTGAAGCATACAGTGAACATTCTCTCATGTACATTGTATTTAATTACAGTCAGTCATTGGACTTATTTCATAACAAACTCTCTCATTTGTGAACATTAGATCACTGATTAATACATTCTCAATATAATCATTACAGATATTTGTGTAAATTCAGTACAATACATAATTTTCGTGGACTAAGATTATAATAAGGCCTCAGAACATTTGACTCATTTTTCAACACCTCTTAACTCGTAGAATTTCTGCATGTTGCACCTTAACATTGTTTAAATATTTGATCTATCGATAACTGCCATCCATTTTTATAGAATAAATTATTTATTTCTGTTATATTGATTATTATAGAGGGTGTTCGGCCACCTCTGGGAAAAAATTTTAATGGGAGATTCTAGAGTCCAAAATAAGACGAAAATCAAGAATACCAATTTGTTGATCGAGGCTTTGTTAAAAAGTTATTAACGTTTAAAGTTCCGCCTGTAGAACGGCAATCTCCGAACGCCGTGTACGCATGATAGTGGTTCTCACTCAGCATGAGAAACTCTACTTACTGACGTATCGACAGTCTTACAGTTTTGTGAATGAGAACCACTATCATGCATAGGCAACTGTTCCCAGATTGCCGTTCTACAGGCGGAACTTTATACGGTAATAACTTTTTAACCAAGCCTCGATCAACAAATTAGTATTCTTGATTTTCGTCTTATTTTGGCACCTCGAATCTCCCATTAAAATTCTTTCCAGGAGTAGTCGAACACCCTGTATAATTTTTTCGAATAATACAATTATAATACACATTCAAGTGTTACAGAAAATAATATTAAATTTGATAATTATAGTAAAATACCGGTTACAATAATTATAAATACAAAGACATGCATTCTACGAGTCATGAGTTGTTATGCATCTATTGTTGAACGATTTTAATGTAATGCTCCTTCAAGTATTTATGCATACTGCAATAGAGAGTACAAACTGCTACAAAACAATTCCAACATGATTTGCTTTACAATTGTTAATACATCTACGTCATACGCTCGTTATGTGTTTCTTTAAGGCCATATACGAGATTTAATACGAAGGTACTGTTCCTTTGGGACAGTATTTGATATATTTATTAATTTGGAAATTTGTCTAGGGATAGACAAATTGACGACACAGCCTTGACAGAGAATGTTCACAGTGTAAGACAGCAGCATAGACATATCTCAGCGCAGCCTCACTTTACCATTGGTTAGTGTTTCAGCTGGTAATTATTATACAAAGTTATAAGTTCTTTAAGTTATACAATAGAACTACGTGCGGAAGAACCCTTCGTAGACAAGATCCTTTTCATACAAAGAATAACATTGTAAGTATAACTATTTAATGTCAATTATAGAATTGCTACAGATCTTGTTCTACGTTTTACAGATAGATGTAATTTTAACTACGCAAAGAGAAATTTTAATACTCGCATTGGTAGACCTTTTACGTAATCAGCAATACTATTGCGTCGTAATAGATAACTGGCTACGAAGGGTGTTTGCAGAGTATGTAATTTGTAAATTACCAACATGAAATCAAGGTTTTTTTTATTTATTATCCTTCTTTTCCTAATAATGTATGCAAAAAACTAAAAATGCCTTAAAAGCTACATTGTAAATATTACACAACATATAGAGTAACAATATGTAACAAAATTGTTTTGTACCTACATAACTATAATGGCAGAAGGTGGGTCTTGTGCCGAGTTATTCTTGGCTACTGTCAATTTTAAGCCAACATTATAGACATAACTATTCTAAACTTAAATAGGACGTGCATGATGTAATATTAAATTTATTAATCATCAACACGTCGACTAACTACTTTCTGCATTTAGGGACTTCTAAAAAGAATTGTCTGCTTTACGGTTCCTTTGTATCTTGGGAACAATTGCATTACGCTTACATTTACAGAAACTAATATCACTCTTAACAGCATTGCACTCATTGTAAAATTCGGCAATTCATCGATGTTATAATGCCATTAGAACGTAAAAATATTATAAAAGAAATTATAATTAACTTTCAAAAAGAAAATACTTTGACCTAGTAACTTCATTAAAGTACAGAGTGATATTTCCTCATCATATACATTGCAAAATCAACACTATATAAAATTGAAAAGTTTAAGAATTTAAATATAAAATTACATTTGATTGAGTAAAACAACGTTTTAAAAGTAACTCTTTAGAAGCCCCGTAATAATTTATTTTTCCATTTAACATGCCTCTCGATTCATTTTTCATTCACTCTATGATAAAGCACGCAACATTACTATAATTTAATTCTATTAAAATGGCATTCAGTATTTTCTTATAGGATTAATCATTCAATATATAAAAAAAATATACAATTTCGACTACTCGATGTAATCGTTCAGTAATCGTGAGTTTGTACTATCCGAATGCCATTTTTGTGTATGATACACTTTCCTTGAACTAGTACTACAAAAACTGTAGAACTGTCCATGAAATCTTAATTTAACTATAATTAATGTCTATACGCAGTGGGACTCCATTGATATTCAGTCGATTCACAATACTCGTAACGCGTCAAATTTGATAGAACAAATGAATAAAGGTATTCTGTCAAGTATATTCCTTTTTTCTTTTATTAAGCTCTTTTAATTTTATGTACCTGACTATGTCAAATTCTGTATACTTTTGTGAATTTATGAAAAATAACTAGTCAGGTATAGATGATTGTTTTTATGTTATAAATATAAGAATAAAGTTATTGCAATTTCCTGCAACATTTTTTCTTTACAGACAAAATAACATATTTCGGCACATGTTTCGTCCCTCTCTTGAGTTACAAAAACATTGTCACGAGTTGTGAATGACTTATACTTACCTGAGGGGTACATTATTTCCCAGTTGCAATCCTCAAAAAATTGCACGCATCTAGTGCTTATTAGGTTTCTCTATCGAGGTACTCTCCTGTTTCAGCAAATTAGTTTTTATTTATGTCATCAGTACATATATAAGGTGAACCACATAACTTAATCACATTGATTATTTCCAATGTTAAAAGATAAACTCAAATATTTTCTATCTTGTATAATTTGATTGGAAGGAGCTACTTACTTATACATCAATAATGATTGATATTAATCACACAGAAACGTCACGAAATATACAACATTATAGAATTAGTGTCAAATATTTTTATATTATTTTATCTTTAGTTATGATGACAAAGAAAAATGTTTTATGTTACTTTCTCAACTCGTCTATGTATTTTGCTAAAATATGAATAGAATTGTAGGGTTCCATATCAAACAATACAGGTAAATGGAAATAACATAAAAACTATATTATAATTAGCACAAAGGCTCTTTCGAATCAAACTATAGAAAACGAAAAATACTTTAATTTGTCTGCTTATATCAGAAATATTTAAGGTGATCAAGTTATGTGGTTCATCCTGTATATATCGTCTCGTTTGGACAAGGTATTTGTAATGCGATAGTGGCTTCATGCCAACATCAAAGTATCATTCATTATTAATTGTATAATTTAAATAATTTATAATTTACAGATCCTGTAGAACACAAGTGGCTGTATGCAAGCATGTCCCATCGGCAGATAAATATATTACATAAAGTGCTTGGTATACCACCACGTTGATGTGATCGGTTGGTATATGACATTTTCACTGTACCATACTGTAACTTTTAGCATACATTCAAAACCATATTTACACACGCGGTTGCATAAAGTAGATGTAAAAGATGCATCCGTGTGTATAAGCAGTTAGTGTCACATATTACTTGCCCTCTACCGCATTCTTCTAAAAGCTTTCTTGATTTTTCTATGCGCCAAACCTTGAGGAGTACCACTAAAAAGATATATAATTAACGAATGATTCGATATATTAGATCCTTTTGTATGTTATATGTACCTGAACATTGGAGGCGCGTTGCCACCAGTGAAATTAAACGACGGCGGAGTATTAGGATCAAATGTTGGTGTAGCACTAGGAGGGTTGAAATTAAATCCTGCGGATGTTGCGGAGGCTGGTGCCTGACAAAATTACATACATTTCAAGTAATTTCTTGTCAGCACAATTTTAATAAAATTAATTTAATTTTAATATTTTTAATATGTATCCATATGTGTAAATTGGTTGGTATAATTACTAGAGTAATACAAAATGAAGGGCGATGAGACTGTAGCACGAAAGAATAAAAACAACTTTTGTATGTGAGTATTTTAATATTATGAATTTTATATTGAACAACAATCTTTATTTGCATTGTTATATTTATGCTCGAATTTTCAATATAGAAAAACCGAAAATTTATAGATTACTCTAATAATATCTACTCGTTTATACATGTAGATATTTATTAATGTATGAAATATTGTAGTTAAAGAGTAAATATGAATTTTTTCCATCTGTTCTTAATATTTTTAGTTGCTAACATTTCATTAAAAGTTAGAAATATGCACATTTCATTTTACTTACAACTGCGCCGAAATTGAATCCGCCTGAAGGTGTAGCAGCTGCTGTAGATCCAAAATTGAATCCTGTATTTGCAGGAGCCGATGGAAATGAGGATAACGGTTGATCCTGAGATCCAGATTGAGGTGCACCGAAAATCGGTGTAGTAACGGTAGATTGACCAAATGCTGGTGCTTCTGGCTTAGGAGGTGTATTAAATGTAAAGCCAGAAGAATTGCTCGATCCAGGGTTATTGAATGTTCCTCCAAATACATTACTACTCTTTGGTGTACTTGTATTACTACCAAATGTAAATAATGGCTTCTGAGTTGATCCAGTAGGATTAGTATTTGCAGAAAACTTGAAACCAGACCCTAGTTGTGCTACTGGTTGAGCAGGAGTGGCATTGAAAGTGAATAAATTTGAATTTGGTGTATTGGTTTCGCTTGATTTTGCAGTAGACCCAAATATATTAGGTTTTGACTCAGTAGAAAATGTTGCAGAAGTGTTATTTCCAAAGACAGGAGTAACGGATGATCCAAAAAGAGATGGTGCGGCTGACGGTGCACTAAAAGTTGATGTAGTTGTTGATGCTGGCGCTTGAGGAGTTGGATTGAATAGAGGTGCTGGTTTAGTATCTGTACTTCCAAATACAGGTATTTTTGTATCGGATGATCCAAAAATCGAATGTTTATTTTCTATACTGCCAAATGTTGGCACTTTAGTCCCTGGTATTGCAAAAGCAGATGGTTTACTTGCAGTGGTACCAAATGTAGGTTGCTTGTTCTTTTCTGATCCAAATGTAGCTGTAGTCTTCGCATCGCTAGTGCCAAACAATGACGGAGTGCTTGAAATGTTTGAAAATATTGAACTTCCGGAGGAGCCATTTGGTAATGCACCGAACGTTTTAGTTGCCGAAGTTCCTTCTTTCGTTTTGTTCTCTCCAAATGTAAAGGTACTGGACGGAGTAGAAGCAGAAGCTGATGGTATTTGACCAAAAGTCGGTACAGGTGTTGTTTGTGCTGGCTTTGTTTCAGGAAATACAAAGGAAGATTGAGTAGAAGACGGAAGACTTGTTATTACACTTGTAGGGGCACTGCTGCTAACTGCAACCGTGCTGTTTGGTACACCAAATGTAAAGAGAGGTGTTGATTTAAGTTCTTGTGAACTGCTCTGAGTAATTGAAGTTAACGTGCTGGCACTAGTAATGGTAGAAGATTCAGTAGTTTTTGTGCTTGGCTTTGAAACTTCCGTCACAGAATTTGCAAGCAAAGAGTCCTGTTTTCCTTTTTCTATATCTGGCTGTTTAATTTCAGATTTTGATACACCAAACGTGAAAATAGACGGAAGTGTGGCGCTTTGAATTGTAGATGCTACATTTACAGACTGCTTATCATTTTCTGCTGCTGCATTTTCAGTTTTTGGCATACCAAATGAAAAAGACGACATCGGCTTTTCCTCAACCTTCTCAGAATCTTGCTTTTGATCAGTTTTTTCTATAGTTTTTGGATTAACTAATAACCCAAAACCACTTCCTACAGTCAAAGAGGCACTGTTTTCAGATTGCAATGATCCACTGGATGTTTTCTTTTCTTCTCTTTGAATGCCAAATGTAAATTGACCAACTTGGCTACTTTCTTGACTCTCACCAAATTTAAAATTATTCATAGGTGTTACATTATCAGTCTTTTGTTGATCATCTTTACTTATTCCAAATTTAAAACCCCCAGTATTTGAAGGCATACCAAAACTAAATTGTAAATTGGAACTAGTATTTGTAGTCGAATTGTCTAATTTCTTTGATCCTGGTTTTACACCACCACAAGCAACACACTCTGTAACTTTTGCCTCATTTTGTAACATACAAGAGTCACAATTCCATGCACCTTCAGGTTTCTTAAATTTATCTCCAAATCCATTTGCAACTAACGAGGGAACGGTTTTAGTTGCATTTCCTGTATTAGGTTTAGCTGTATTGCAACATGGACAAGAATCGACGGAAATAACATTTCTAACCATACAACAAGGACATTCCCATGTTTCTTTACTTGGTTTAAATTTATCCATACTTTCACTTTTAGTGACGGTTGAAGTATTTAATGATGTATTGATTGGCATACCAGTCTTCTGACTAGCTACGGTATTTATTTCATCCGTGAAACTTTTATCATTTTTAGGACTTGTTTTCAACAAATTTGACTTAGGTATATCGCAAGAAGAGCACGTCACAGAGTTTGCAGAATTTCTTAGTGCACAATTAGAGCATTCCCAAGATTCTTCCAAGGATTTCATGTTATTCAGGTCAGAATTTGGTAATTTTGTTGTAGCTAATTTGCTATGGTTGGAGTCTGATCTAACCGAGGTACACGCAACACATTTTTGATCAGTTTCTTTGTTTCTTACATAACACGATGTACATTCCCATTGATTATTCGACATTTTAAACTGGGATCCAAAGTGATCATTGGTTGTAGTCTTTGATTCACTGATATTACTCGACGATGGTAACAATTCGCTAGCTTTATTATCATTAGGACTTCGCCTGGTAGTTTTGCAAGTAATGCACTGTGTTTCAGAATTGCTGTTTTTAATCAAACATTCCAAACACTCCCACATATTCGAAGTATCTTGCTGAGTATCAGGCTTTGAACTTGCAATGATAATATCATTTTTATTTGTATCTAAAGTAACTGCGTTTGCTTTGTTATTAATAGAATCTTTATTTAACTCTACTTGCATTTTTGTTTCACTCGATTTCTCAGGTCCAGTTTTATTAGATTTAGTATCAAGAATATCCATTACACTTCCCGATTTTAATTCGTTCGAAGTAGTAGGAACAGGACTGTCTCTATTCTTTGTTTTCTCTTTTGGTCTGGGTGCTGTAGATGAAGTAGACCACATAAAATTCTGTGTTACAGTAGGTACACAATTGCTAGGTGATGTAGATTTAGCATTAACTCTTTTTAAAGGTGAACTTGAATTATTAGAGTTATCGATTGATTGTTTATCAGCTGTAATTGGTCTACTAAATGTAAAGTTGTTAATAGATTTTAAATTTTGTGTAATATTTGTTACTTTTATAGGACTTGCAAACGTGAAAGTTTCTTCTTTGTCCACACAACTTTTATCTACTGTTTTTGAATTAACAGGTGACATAAAGTTAAAATTAGGTAAAGAAGATATTGGCAAAGGTATACTTGGTAAATTGACTGGTTCAACTGTGTCTTCTTCATCAAGATTTGCTGTTTTAACTTTAAGTTTTCCATGATGTTTCGAACCTTCATCAGCTTGTGTTCTGAGAAAGAGAAATTACATGTGCAATTAACGTCTATTTTTTAATTATACAAATCAATTTTATTGATGGCACACAATTGAATCGCCTACTTACCTAAGATGGTATTCTTGTAGGGGTGGTGGTTCAGTTCGTGCTGAAACAATTTTTCTAACTGCAGATGTTATATTTTGTAGTTTTTGACGACGTCTCAATTTTAATATATCGGGCACATTTGGTACGGTTAATTCACGAGTTAAATGGCGCAATCCAACTTTAACCGTTGGCGATGTTTCCTCTCTTGTTCTCTTTTTACTTGTTGATGATGTATTATTTATCATTTTTAATGGAATTTTTTTAGCATCAGTTATTGGCGATGAAAAGTGTTCTAATGCTTCTAATATTTTCTTAGCCGTTTGACTCATACCAGATGAATCAACTCCTGTTGTATTAGATGGTTTTACTTCAACGCTTGTTCTTCTTGGAACTTTAAGTTGAATCTATAATTGAACATAAATTTATATAGTTAAAAAATAAATAAATTTTACCGAAATATTCGGTAAAATGTACCTCGTTCGAACTGTTGAATAAAGTGCGACTTCGTTTATAAAGACCAGCTGCATTTGCTCCACCAAAAGTAGTATTTCCGCTGTAAAAAGGAGACGATAATGGCGATGCACGATCCGACGTGTTTGTCATGACCGATGCATTAAAGCTTGGTCTACGGTTGCTTAAGGAATCTCGATTACTATCTAAAAATAAAGATCTTGGAGACTGCATACGGTTAGCTAGAAAAAGGAAATTATTTTACATTAAAAAATATTGAAAATAATATTAAGAGATATTAAAACAAGGTGTAACAATATAAAACAGATTACACCTTTAAAAAGAAATTATTTTTGTTAAAATGTTAATTTGTAAGTACTATGTAAAGGTCTTAAAGAACCAGCACACATTCCATTAATACCATTGTCTAGAACGCAGCAAAATTGTGTTCATAATGTCTTAACAAATAAATTTTATACATATTGTTACTTCTATAGGTTTGTGTAAATCTTTGTTGAAATAAATAAAATTTCATATTCTTCTCCTATATTTCATCAATGAATCCTGAGAACCATCATGTAGTACGAATGTCAAAAATTTGTTACACAGTATTTACAGATTAATATTGTTCCAAAAAGAAAAATATTACATACTAAAAGTTAATTTGTCATTATTAAAACTCTTTCGATTCGAAAATGAGGAGTTATACGAGACATTTGATGGAGCCTCTTGTCTATTTATTTGTGGAATAAGAGAGCTGCAGCCACTGGTGCTTTCGCTGGATTCAGAATTATCATCTGTACCATTTGTAGTTCCATTATTCGTGGCAACAGTTATAGAATTCAACTCAGACCTCTGTTGGGCTATATTCCTAATATCTGTTGGCATTGCAGGCGTGGAAGATATTAAATGGCTCATCCTACTTGGCCCAGCCATTGCAGGTTCAGAAAAATCTTCAGACTAAAAGAAATTATTAACTCGAGGAAATGTTTTCAAATAGCTGCTGTTTAAAAATAAATGATATTTACCATTTCATTACATATGGAATATTGTTGTTTAGAAGAACTGGCTTTGTTAACTGGAGCTTTAGCTCTTGTTTGAATCAAGAATGTACCAGGAGGATGAGTAACATCCATACGAATACATGGTCGTTTTAAAGGTGGAGGTTTTTGAATTTCTTCTTCGGATTCAACCTCTTCAGCATTTTCATTGTCATCTAACGCATCACCTTCATTTTGAGACGAGTTAAACCACTTACTGATCCATGATCTTTGTGGTATAAAATCTGTCACTTTCGTTGCTACTTTTTTTACAAATGACTGAAATAAATAATAATTCTACAAATATAAAATAATTTTTAATATTAGTTTATTCAATTTTCATAATTTAAAATTCTATTAACACGTTCGCTGCCAAGTGTCATTTTCAAAAATGGTTCCACTACGCCAACAAATATGAATTAATTAATTGTAAAATAAAAATACAAAACATGTATTTATAGGAAAGATATTGAATTTAGATAATTTTTAATTGCTTTATCAATTGCGTGATTATTTTTAGTTCCTATGTTATTTACTTTATAATTACTTATATTATATTTATATTAATTATAATAAATCTCTTGAATTGCGCCAAATTGTTGTTTTTTTTCTAATCCCCAAAGCCAGATACCTTCAAAGAACATGAAAATACTACGAGTTTGATCGTATGTGGCTTAGGTAAAACAAAAACGTTCTACGAATTAACTCGTAGCTAGTGTCTAAACACAAACTTCGACCTATGAGATAACTCATTGTTGACAGCGAATGTGTTAAACAAGATAATAAGTGCTAAACATTAGCAAAAAAATATAGACTATACTATAGCCAGTATTATTATTTGCTTAATTCAATTATTACATTATATATAACAGTTTTTATTAAACAATGCTTTTTAAGTTGTACTTAGAAAAATAATTGAACTTAAATAAAGATGGAAGACTAAATATTGAAATCTAATATTTGTATCATTAATATAACGTCAAACAGATACATATGTACAAAGGCATAAACAGATTATATTTGATAAAAAAAATTTTTTCTTCTTGGAAACGAGGTTAAAATATTCAATCGAGAATCAAATTCTGTGAATCTTACATCAAGTAAGGTCGGTTAATTCGATCAAATATTGCTATTTCCAAAAAAATGATCTTCGGAAATGATTATACACATGATATTGCGCAAATTTGAGTAAAACGCGATTTCTCGATGTCATGCGAACATTTGTCTAGTATGGAATCGATATAAACGTAAACGTATAAACATACGAAATTTCGTAACGAAAATAAAGTTACATGTTAACGAGAATCAAATCGCTTAACAGATTCTCAACGGTATTCCTTTTAAGAGAAAATCACGTTTCAAGGTTAGATATTATAGGTGCCTCAATAGGTATCTCGGAAGTGAAGTGGTATGGGAAAGATTGAGGTTATCGAGTGCACTCACATAACCGTGACATCGTCTAGGTCCGATGAAAGTGCATCTTAGAAAAAGGGCAGTCGCGCAAGTACTCCGAAGAGGGGCCGGTTCACGGTGTAAATTCGTTGGAAGATCTAATTCGGGAGGTTAGGCGCGAAGAACCGTTGAAGTTGAAATAAGTTCGTTTCTGTCGCGGGGGACTCGTGCCAGGAAGGGACTACTCACATTGTTTGCGTCGTAGGGCTTTGTATTGTGCGACGATGACCGTCTTCCACTTAAATTGTTACTCCCTTTAGCCATGATTGGCACTGATCACTTATTTACGAGTACAGAACGCGCAAAAACAACTTTGTACGTCGCATCCCAGAAATTGTCAGCGAACCACCACCTTCGTGATTGAAACCCACGAGAGAAAATATGGCCGCCCCAAAGACCGCCACCAGGGCGCCAGGTTTCTCTCGAATATGCGCTGGTCGCGCCTGCCCACGTGACACACGTACGCGCTCGCTGCCTTAAAATCGGCGTATCGCTATCTCTTCTTACAATCGCTTTCGAAAAAAGAACGCCGTGCACAATATGCGTGTGGCTTCTACAGATGACACTGCAATCGCATGATTTCAGTGAAAACGTGCATGTATATCTAATCTTTTAATACAGCCGAGCCACGTAACGTATAAAATTATACATTTCGAATTTGTAACATGAATTTTTTGTAAACAAATAATTACTGATTATTTGACCCGAGAATTTGAACTTAATGAATATTTTATTCCTACTATTCTAAATAAATTATTATATTGTACAAAAAAAAAATAAATACGATATAACCCTTACATGGTTCTTTATCGATTAATATATTAGTATTTATTGTAAATGTAATATATTCTCACGAACAAAAAATATGAGCACAGACGAGGTATAATACTCGTATACCTCATCTGTGATATGAGTTACGAAGTATTTATCATTTTACATATATTCAAAAATGTAAGTATTGTCGGTAAGGAAGCGATTAAATTTGATAAATATATGATCTGTTGGTACAATATCGACGAATTTCTACTTTCACTATTTTATTTTAAAAAGTTGTTTTTAACATTAAACAAACGTTTGAATATTCCGAGTATTCATGGATTGTAAGTATTTTGTATCAATTATTTACTTAACAATGTTATTAATTAACGTTCTTTATAGCGTAAGGGAATAAACCATGGAAGAACCTTGAAATGTTGATTGAACAAATTTCTGAATTCGAGTTATTTTCATTAATTTTAAATAACTGTTCATTTCATGCCCGTCATATCCTCCTATTTATTATTACCTTTAAACGTATTTATTTATAGCAAGGTCAAAAAAAGCATCAACTTGGGAGACATCCCACACGCGTCTCGAGTGAGAGAATTCTTGCCCAATTCTATTCATCTCTATTATATGAATATGAAATAATTGCCTATCCTAATTTTAGAAGCCTGAATATAATGGGTGTACGATAATGTGAAATAAACATTTATAGAATATAAATTATCTGAAAATATTCAAATAATTAAAAAGGACGAAAACGATACAATATTTCTATAGTTCGTTCATCTCACAAGAGCTTCAAGCAAATAAAGCCGCGTGCCTACGAAAGAATCTCATTAGCTCGTTGTCTTTGTCCAATAATATATCCGATGCATGCTTGCAATAAATAAAAAGTGTTCTTTAAACGCTCTTTAAGATGACTTTTATAAGATAAATGTTAACTTTCGGTTAATCTGAAAATTTACTTTTACTAGGCTTTAAGTTAATTGAGTGTCCAACCAAAAGTCCGATTCTAGAGTACTGAAAGTTATCATTGAACTAACCTGAAAGAGTTTTATTTCTAGGTACATATTCCTACACAGTCTTATTCTGAATAACAACGCGTTATATATATCGAGGAATATATCGTTTATTACTTTCGATTTTACGACGCCGAACGTAGAATAGTGATTGGGTTGTTCTTCAATGTCAGGCATCATAGCTGACTCCGGTACTAGCCATGTTGAGCGAGAAACAATAAAATCGAGGGAGCCTGATTTTGCGCTAGATAGAAAGAGTCCACAATATTTGTGCGTCTCTGTCTGTCTAGTACAAATTCGGACTCTCGCAGCTTTACTACCTCCCGTTCAGCATGGCTCGTATTAGACTCGGCTGTGCCAACACACTAGGACCACAGACGAGGTATACGAGTAGACTTTTCACCTTATGGACTTTCGCGGCCGAATCTGACTGCCATACCGACCTGAAAATTCGGAGCTGATTTTAGCGGCCTCTTCTCATGGATGGCGGTCAGTTGAGAAACTCACTGAATTAGTGTGATAGGCAACAGACTAGTTGCGTGTAAATGCATTCGTGTTGAAAAGTACGAATTATTCGCGTTTCCTTGACTAGTTAAAGTTGTAAATAATTTGCTAAAATCAGTCTATCCGCGGTTTCTATTTGAGGCATCCCTCGGGTTCGTAATACAAGCTTCGTGAGACATCGGAGCTTCCCCCACCCCGCCGCCTAATTCGCGAGCGTTGCCGAGCACAGAGGACGGCCATCATTCATACTTTGAAAATAAACGTAGCAAGACGTGTCGAGACGTATCGGCGTTTCGCGACCGAGGTGCGTATTTCTAACCTGTTTATCCTTCTACTATTACTACTCGCGTATTACTGCTTACGATCTCTTGCAATACGGTTTCGATTTAATCATTACTTAATTGTAATAATCGTTTGCGTACTTTAATGCATCGTTATTTCGTTTCTGTTACAGTCTCTTATTGGAACTCGAAATTAAGAAATAATAAGACTTGTTGGAACCTGCCAAGACGTGTCAGTGTTTCGCGACCAACGAGGTACATACGTGTTTCTAACCTTTTAATATTTCTTCATTATTATCAATTATTGTTTAATTATGATTTAATTTGTATTTTATTTCTGTTGCAGTCTCGGATTGAAATTCGACGCCATGGAAAGTTTCATTGGCGCGTAAACGACACCATAACAGATGGCAGACGAGTCGACAAATTTTGGAGGGAATATTGGTAACTTGTAAACAATTATAACAAAAATTAATATCCATACCAATATTTATATATTTTTATTTGATTATTACGTTATTCGATGCAAGCATGAACATAATTTTATAATCGGCCATTGTTAAGATAAATTATGAAAATCTTTGACAAACTTTTTATCCACTTCGATATACATACATATATCGAAGTATACAGAAATGGCGTCGGTAGATATCGACGATAAATTGGAATAGTTTATATTTAACTGTATTCTGATCGCGATTGAATATTTCCGAGTGTTGTTTATTTAATTGATCGTTTATATTTCTTTATGAATTGTTGTAATTGCAATTTGCATATATATTTCGATGCAAGTTTAAGAAAACGTAGAAACCACGTAGTTGGAATATGCTATTAAAGCATAAATAATTAACGAACTTTAATTTTTGCAAATTTTGGAATATTTATAAAAATTATCGGATATTCTCACATTCGATGAAGTAAACATAATCATGCTTACAACTCTAACTATGAAATTTAGTGATATAATATTTATAAATTGAATAATTACTTGTACGTAATTATTTTCGTAGATAATATTTTATCGTTGAAATTCTCATTAATTGAGAATATTTCGCCTTCGTGGCATTGAACTTTTACGTGGCAAATTATGTATTATGCAGTAGTATTAAGTAAAGCAGTATTTCTGTTGACGAACTCTTATAAGAAGATGAAAAAAGAAAACCAGTAGGCTAAGCACAGGTGTGCTTGTTGTGTTTCTTGTCTCCTGTCCCTTTCTTTTCAGCTCTTTTCTTTCCAGGAAATTTGTTGGCCGCGCGCAATGCGGCCGGTAGATTCAGTGATTGTGCGTAATAACAAGTTTGTTTCTCGGGGCAAAGTGACCCCGAGTACGTTATCGTTCACGGTGTTAGGCAAACGCGAGAATAGAAGCAGTGTTTCTTACGCGGTATTAAATTATTTACAGAGCATCGTGGCTCTTTCTGTTTTCTGAATCGCGATAATAGAATCATTTGTTCGCCGATTTCAATCTTCGGTCGCGGTAATCTAATTTAATACTTTCCAATCAAATTAATTATTTTTTTAATTTGAAATTTAAACTCCTCGTTACCGGAATTAGAGTCAGTGCATCGCCGAAGAGGACTATTAGCCGATGCTCCACGAGCAAACAATGTAAGTATAAATTTATACTTTGAAATTTTTAATTAAAAATCTCTACAGTTTAGACAATAGATTCTAATTGTTTTCTTACAGTTTTCTTACAGTTTCTGAACATGATCCTGGGAACCAGTAGCAGCACCCGGGGGGTATCGGGCGGTGGACCACGAGCGAACAACGTAAGTATAAATTTATACTTTGAAATTTGTTAATTAAAACTCTCTATAATTTTAACAATAGATTATAATTGCTTTCTTATTCTTTATAGCAGGAGCATGCAGGGGGCTTTGATGGCTTCCACCGGGCAGCAGCAGCATCATTATGCAGTCATCCCAGAGGCACAAGTTCATCACTCGTGAGTCGCATGCTATTTGTGTTCCTCTGGTCCCCAACCATGTTGTAGGATGAAAGATCCGAATCAACACGGGTGACCAGTTGTATACTTGGTATTTTTGACGAGTTAAGTGACCGCGGGTATGAAAAATACCCATGAGTTATATTTTTTTAGTGCAGGCTAGGGTCTTCTTGCACTCGCGTTTTTTAATGTTATCAGTAAATATTATACAATATGATTATTACACAATTTTGATAAAATATATGAAATATGTTTATTATCTTTATATGAATTATATAATCGAGTAGAATATGAATTAATATAATGTGAAAACATTATATTAATCGTACGATTGAGTAAAATATCTTACATCATTAATATAATTATTAAATATTCGTTTTATCAATTAATACATCATATGATGTATTTTATGTGCAAGAAGGCGTTTCGCGACTGGTCGATTTTCAACTCAAAGGAACATGCATGTTAATTTTATTTTTTTAAAAATTTACTTTGACGACAGAATCGACCATGGTTAATTGAATATTTTGAATAGTAATTTAACAAATTTATTTCAATTTGCAAAGTAAATTATTTTATCATGAAATCTTTATTAAAGTCTTACATTTTGAACAATTAAATTTCAATTACAAATTTTTCTTGAATAATAATATCTTTCAATATTAACGTACTCTGTTGTTTATATATTACATATAACGAGTCGAGTCATTTTAATTGAGAATAGATACCGTTTAGTTAATTATTAATAACCAGTTGTTCTAGTCAGGATTTTCAGGATACTTTTCCGTGTTCGTTGCCTAAGTTCATGCACATGCCCAAGTGTTATTTGCACGAGCGAAGGCAACGGGGCACGATGACTTAGTTTGTAACATTTACAATAATAATTTATCCGTGCGACTGACAATGCTAGTGTATCGTGCACGATGTACTG